CCTCTAGACTGGCTTACTACATTGTTAGACCTTACACCCTCTAGGCTGGCTTACTTCATTGTTAAATCTTGTATTTATGATGGTATAGGTTTATAGATCTTACACCCTCTAGACTGGCTTACTACATTGTTAGACCTTACACCCTCTAGGCTGGCTTACTTCATTGTTAGATCTTGTATTTATATTGCTATAGGTTTATAGATCTTACATCCTCTAGACTGGCTTACTACATTGTTAGACCTTACACCCTCTAGGCTGGCTTACTTCATTGTTATATCTTGTATTTATATTGCTATAGGTTTATAGATCTTACATCCTCTAGACTGACAGACTGGCTTACTTCATTGTTAAATCGTGTATTTATATTGGTATAGTTTTATAGATCTTACACCCTCTAGGCTGGCTTACTACATTGTTAAATCTTGTATTTATATTGGTATAGGTTTATAGATCTTACACCCTCTAGACTGGCTTACTTCATTGTTAGATCTTGTATTTATATTGGTATAGGTTTATAGATCTTACACCCTCTAGGCTGGCTTACTACATTGTTAGATCTTGTATTTATAATGGTATAGGTTTATAGATCTTACACCCTCTAGGCTGGCTTACTACATTGTTAGACCTTACACCCTCTAGGCTGGCTTACTTCATTGTTAGATCTTGTATTTATAATGGTATAGGTTTATAGATCTTACACCCTCTAGGCTGGCTTACTACATTGTTAAATCTTGTATTTATATTGGTATAGATTTATATATTTTTGCCCTATAGACATTACACCCTCTAGTTTGTCTTTTGGCTGTTTAATAGACCAAATATCGAAAGATGAAGGTTGAAAGTTGATAATGTTGTCATTGCAAAATTCCTCACAGGGCCCTCAGTTCTGCTAGAAACAATAGAAAATTAAACTCCCGCACATCAAACCAGGTATGAACTATTAGTATATTCGAAATCCTGGCATCATCAGCTACATTTTGATACCAATTCCCTCTCATTAGCTTTCTCCGTTCAGAAGATATAGTCAATTTAATATCAAGATTTGAGTCACCTTTAATACTTCACTGACAGCTTATTACTGGGCAGTGCAACTTAATACCTGATACGATTTACAGGGTCACATTATATTTATATTATTTAAAATATATGAATGTGTAAATGTGTGAAAAATGAAGGCTGTATATATATTGAATTATTGACTGTGAACAGATGTTAGCCTACCAGAAGTGGTCTTTAAATTATATTTAGTAATTTTGAGTAGAATATATAGACAAAGCTTTATAGAAGAACAATCACTGGTTAACATTTTAACATGTTTCTCTTGGCCTCCTCAAGGAATATAAAAATTATGATATTAAATTCTATAAATTATATTAAGTATTTGTGAGTATAATATATAGACACAGTTTTATAGAACAACAATCACTGGTTAAAGTTTTATGGAACAATAATCACTGGTTAAAGTTTTATGGAACAACAATCACTGGTTAAAGTTTTATGGAACAATAATCACTGGTTAAAGTTTTATGCAACGTTTCGACGTGTTTCCCCCGTCGTCCTCAGACACAGAATGATAGAGAAGTGATAATCAAACTATATATACATTATACTTATTATTAAGAAATTTTGAAGAATTCCATAAAAGACAATCATGGTATACCTCCTTTAAATCAAAGTGTTGCTATGACGTCAACATTCCATGCAATTTATATTGTTGTTTTTGGTTCTAAAAATCTGCAGGTGGGAAAATTTAACAGATAATTAAATAAACAAGAATTCTGGAATCAGGGTAAAAACTCTGATATTTTGGCATCAACTGCCTGAAAGATCGAAATTGGCTGAATTATTTGTCAAATTACAACTTTGGTTTTATAAAAGATATTGACCAATTTTGATCTTTTAGTCAAATGATGCTAAATAAGCTTATAGTTTCCCCTATCAATTTTTATCTTTCTTAAAATCAAAACTAAACCTTGCATGTATATTGGAGAAATCAAGTAAGATTTAACTGATATTTCTATCTTGATTTACTTCTATGGAATACTTTATAATTTCTGTTTGTGGCCATGATTGTCAAACCTCTTCTAAAATGTCTTGGCTATAAAAATTTGTGAAATTTGAATTGATTTTGTGCATTCTTATACACATTTTAGGAAACAACGTGGAAATGTGGGGTTCCCTTACTAGGGTGGCCAATGTATACTTCTTTCTAATAGTGAGAGCAAAGCTTAAAATCATTTGAACAGTTGTCCGTCTGCTAGAGTGCTGGTATGAATATCTGTTGCAGATGTGAATTTATATTTTCAATCTGTTTTAATGAGAAAATCATAAAATTCTGTTAAATGATTAAAAATGGTGGTTTTATGTTGTTTTGATGTTAGTGTTAATATTTTAAAATGAGATTTACCAGTTTTCTAGCGGCACGGTTCAGAGTTTATCTATAATCAATGTCCTTATGTTTATAAAATTAGATCTGACGATATCTTGATTCAGTTTTTAAATCAATATGGTAGAAAACAGAGACTGGAAGGATATAATGAAGACAAATTGCCAAATAATAAAAGATATTAAGAAAAAAATATGAGCAAAATATTAAATCATCAAACCAAAGGCAGCATGTTATGCTAGACGAGCCTATTTTTTTCCCCGATCACAATTCCAGTTGTCCCAGCTTTAAGTTTGGTATGGATAATCTAGGAAAGATCAATGCCAAGAGAATTGGCCAGGGACCTTTTCTTAGACAGGATCCTCATGAACCTAAGTTGTTAAAACTGGTTCCTTTGTCTTATCTACCATCATTCGGTCGAAATAACAGGAGAAGAGTTATCCAGTAGACTCAAGGCATGTTAATCTGGATGCATCACAATGTCAAGCTATTACGACCTTCAACTTATACCTTGACTGCAATAGCCACCATTCTTGTATAACAGATGTTTGTAAATGCAGCAATTTGATTGGATTGTACATAAATGAATACAGCCAATCAGAGGCGTCAAAAAAAGTCTGTTTACTCTAAGCCATTGGCTAACGTTTACAGTCTTTCTGTTGGGGGCTCTGATTGGCTGTATTAACTGGCATTCAATCCAATCAAATTGCTGCATTCTGTGATGCAAGAAAGGTGGCTATTGTAGTCAAGGTATAAGTCCAATAGCTTGATATCAGATAATTTGGGTTTACTCTAAGCCATTGGCTAACGTTTACAGTCCTTCTGTTGGGGGCTCTGATTGGCTGTATTAACTGGCATTCAATCCAATCAAATTGCTGCATTCTGTGATGCAAGAAAGGTGGCTATTGTAGTCAAGGTATAAGTCCAATAGCTTGATATCAGATGATTTGAGTATTAAACCCCTAGGGAGACAATAATCAGCTGGTATAGAGTCTTGGTTTGATTAATTTCACTTGATTACACTCTAATATATTCTCTTTTAATTATCCTGACATTTTATCATAGAATATACATAGAGACCTTGTTCATTCATTCATTCATTCATTTCCAATATACAGAGCTTATTTCATTCATTTATTTTGTTCATTCTTCCTTTTGTCTTTCATTTAGTTCCTTCATTTATTCATTCATTCTTATTGAAAATACAGAGAACATGTCATATTCATTCATTCATTCATTCACTCATTCATTCATTCATTCATTCACTCATTCGTTCAATTGCTCCATCACTCAGAATATCAAAATTATTTGATTCACTCAGACTATGATATATGATATACATAATTATGCCTTTTCATTCATTCATCTTTCATTCATTCATTCATTTGTTCATTCATCCTTAAAGCTTCCTTGTTCAGGACTTAATTTGTTTATTGATTTGATCATTGATTTTGTGGTTGAAAGTAATGTGGGGTAATGTAATTGATCAAGGATTCTGTAAGGGGTAATAGAATAGAAAGAAAAGGGTTGAAATAGGATAATAAAATGGTAGATGAAATACTATCTTTAGTCAAACCAGGTGTATCATTACTACACGATAAAAAAATAACTTTTTTATAAAAAAACACCATAGAAGATTTCCATCAATGTGCCGAATGTTGGCGATGTTAACAATCGTAGTTTTGATAACGTTGATTAGATAGAAACTAAATAAACTGGTGGAGCTCTTCATTATAGAGATAAAACTAGTCTATGATAATATTATTTTTAGGTTTTACACCGTTTTTGTCTGATATAGTACTTGTGTTTCTGATAGTTTGTATCTTGATCCGTGTACTTCTGTTGTGATCCTTCGTTAGGTTGGCTAGGCGATTAGTGGCGTTTCTAGGTAGCATCAAGTGAGGGAGCCGATCAGGGGGCGCAAACTTTTCCAGGGGGGGCCACAGGTAGTTCTTTCACTCTGTAAAATGATAATAGAATTTGAAAGTGGGAGGGGGCCAACCACGTGCCAGTCTCTTTTCTGGGAGTCCATGGCTCCCCCTGACCTCCTCATAAAAACACAACTGGTTGGGATTCAAAGATATCATTAAAGTGCAAATAGAGTCAACTGTATATTTTGCAAAAGTACCCTGATGTATTCATATATAACCCCCTGTTAGAGAACGACCCAAATATTCAAGTCATTTTGCAACAATCAGACGTGTCTGGCAAATATAATCAGATCAAGATCCCTGAGTTGTTTAAAATGACATTTCCCATCAATATTAGTCTCAACAAAATAATTCATCAGGAACTTTTGGCACTAAAATCATGTTCTTGTTGGCTGGGGCGTCGTTTTTCTTGGCCGTAATAATACTTAATGTAATTTGATTTGAATTCAAAAGATTCTTTTTTTTGATAATATTGAGCAAGGGATCTTGATTTGTCTGCATTTGCCAGCCAGTTACCATGAGCATAGAATTATTCCCAATTAGTTGCTGTGAGGCATCATGAATTAGCTGTATTTGCTAGTCAGTTTCTGTGGGCAAGGGATTTTAATTGAACTGTATTTGCCAGCCAGTCACTTCTAACCATGAGCAGTTTTGTTTTATGGATTTTCTTTTTGTTGTTTTAGATTTTGTCCGTCAATAGAATCGAAAATCCTGCGATTTCCACCACGGCAACACCAGGTTTGGCTGGAACCAGAAGGGCTGGATAGCGACCTGATTTATCCTCAGGGAATCTCCTGTACCATGCCAGAAGAATACCAGCAGAAATTAGTTAATACAATTCCAGGATTAGAAGATGCTAAAATTGTAAAACCAGGTAATGGATTTTTAGATTGATCTTTGAGTTTGGTTTTAATTGAAAATATCTATGATGTATGTATATCAATATTTTTGCTGCCTTTAGGTAGGTTACAAGATTTTTTGAGAAGTTACCCTAGTGAAACTACTTTCTGTATTTATATCATTAAAAGTTCAGTACACATGCATATTAATGTTATTGCTGCCTTCAGGTAGGGTAGGTTAAACACTTTTTTTGAGAAGTTACCCTTGTGATACTAGCTTCTGTATGTAAATCAATATTTTTGGTGTCTATTGCTAGGTTACGGAGTAGAATATGACTATATAGACCCACGACAACTCAAACCCTCCCTAGAAACATTACGAATAAATAACCTATATCTAGCTGGTCAGATCAACGGAACTACTGGGTATGAGGAGGCAGCAGCACAGGTCAGTCTTGGGGTCACATAGATAATAAAAAGCTCCATGGTTACGGCACCACAATTCCATAGAATTTCAACTAAAATAGATTCCAGAATGAAGAGAGATATGATAATTTTTTAATTTTACCAATTATATTTTTGTGAATATCAGCTTTAAGTCTAAGTCTAAGATTAACTTAGAAAATTATAAGATTAAGGATAATCCACAAATAGGCTGACAATATATATCTCAAACTTCCAAAAATTACAAAAAGATATTTGAAATGCAGAATTTCGTCGCTTCGCTCCCAGCCTACACCTATTTTAATCAAATGGTGGTCATGATGCAGATGACAGATGAACAATGTTACTATTTATATCACAGGGTATAATAGCTGGTATTAACGCTAAACTGAAAGTAGAGGAGAGACCAGCGTTTATTATTGATAGAACTCTGGGATATATTGGGGTATTAATAGATGACCTGACGACCCACGGAACTAACGAACCGTACAGGATGTTTACAAGTCGAGCAGAATTTAGATTATATTTACGTCCTGATAATGCTGACTTCAGATTAACACCGAAAGGTAATATCAATTTCCAGATTATCATCTCCAATTACACCCTTCATCTATTTCATCATCATTGCTTGTAACAAAACAATAAACTTACTGAAGAGGGGGTTTCAGAAACAGTAGCAGAGCCAGATTTACGTCTGAGGGGTGGTGAAATGTCTGAAATTGCCCAATTCTAACCTGGTTATGAGATTTTTGCTCGAAAAACTTGCTTTTGGGACTGCCACAACTGTTCAGAAATCTACTCTTAGATTAACTGGAAAAATTATAGACTTGATTCTCTACAACTGATAGTAACTGGAAGAATCACATCAATTGATAGAGTTAGTCATATAGAGTGTACCAATGACTGTCAATTTCTGTTGCCTCCAGTTGCTATCAGATTCTCATATTCTCCTTTCGCGTAGACATTGGATCCTTGACCTAAGCAGCTATTACTAATGGTCTCTCTGGCAGAGCCAGCAGTGGCAGTCATTAGACCTAAGTGACAGTTGCTTTTAATCGGTCAAATTCATGAAAAAAGCGGCAGTGAGTGGGATTTCTCTGAATCATTAGTTAGAGTGACCTAGTAGGGTCACTGAACTGTTAAAGGAGGCTCACAATCTTTACTTTCTCTATTCTAACATTGAGAAAAGTGATAGTGATGTGAAACGCCCTTATAAGCAGTTCGAGACATTTCCACAGAGATATTTCGAAATTTCGTTGAACCCATGAAGATCGTCTATAAATCTTACGACAAAAGGAGGGATATAAGGTTTGAGTAGGCTGATCTTTTGCTCTTACTTGGGTTTTGCTTTCTCATGATTTGTCTTTGTTTACAAGAAATGGGTACAACAAGATTTGATTGGTTAAAAATAATGTTATTAGAATGGTAGTCTGCTAAAAAATTGTTAGATTACAATGAAGATAATAATAACAGGAAAAAAGAAGGTTTAAACTTTGTTTATTTGATGTAGGATATGAAGCTGGGTGTGTAAGTAAGGAGAGATATCAAAAAACACAAACGTTACAAGATGAATTAAACAGAAATATCATGTTATTCAAATCAGTCAGAATGCCTCATGAAAATTGGAGACAAAAATTAGAATTGAAGGCAAGAGGCAATACTGACTGGAAGAGGTATTGTTATCTATTTTATCTCAGAATTTTTTTTAGTTTTTGCAAGGGATTTGTGAAGTTATTTGAGGCAGAACAGATCCAACAATACGGGTCAAAGTTTGGTTAAAAATGGACACATCTTGTTTTGCCGTTCATTAGCCTACTTCACCTTTGTGAAATTTTTAGAATCTATCAAGAATGAATGAATTTATTGGGAGTCCGTAATGGTTTACCTATTCTTGATGTCCTGCAAAGAAAATTGATTCATTGTCATCTGCCTTACCAGTCATTTCCGTAAAATAGAACTAAATCAACAGCCTCGATTGGAACATAAGAATTTTCATGGTATGGATATTGACCGTCTGTTTTTGTCTAACCTTTACTTGACAGAGAGACTCTTGCCGAAAATGGACATTTGAGATAGTCTGGCGGCAATGTCGGGAAATAGAGTCAAATTAACATCCCTGATGGGTATATATATATATATTTTCATGTCTAGTTGTGCTATGATTTATTTCCAGTGCCTATGATATGTTACGTAATCCTGAAACATCGTTTAGCAAAATGGTGGAGGTCTGCCACGAACAGTTCGGCCATCTGAAAAATAATAAATATTTAGAAGATAAAATTATTATCGAATGTAGGTTTCTAGCTATTTATACTTTACAACCCCTTACACCCTCTCTGTTGGTTTACTGAACTTACTGCTGTCTCAAAACCATTAAAAAAAAAAAGATGATTTCGTCAATCAAAAATCTCGTCCAAAATTGGGAGTAAAAGTTGTATAGTAGTGGACTCCTCCAAAGAGAAGTACCATCAGGTGTTTCAAAAAGAGTAAGCATGATCTGCTTTGACACTGCGCGACACCTGCCACTACTACAATGGTCAAAATCATGAGATACAATCAGATCAATTCATGCCTGACCCTATGGCCTATAGGGTCATCACATCATGAGAATGAAACTGAAAAATTGTTCGTTGTTTTAAATTTCTGAATTTTTAACATGCTTAGTTCTATATTTGATGTTATTAAAAGATTTACTACAAACATCAATTTTAGCTTGTTATGCCAGTGAGCTAGAAGAACAGAAGTATGAAATCGAGGAAATGAAACGAGAATCAGAATTATTATTACCACAAGATATTGACTATTTTAGGTAAGTCAGTGTACAATAACCGTGTAGCATGATGATGTCACACGTTTAGCCAGCTGTGCATGCTGGGAATGAAGTGGGGTTTCTATCAGTATTCGTTCGGCCATTTTGTAATACCTTGACCCCAATTCAATCCTATAGTTCATAGCGCGAAGTTTGTTTATTGAAATGTGACATCATCAGTCTACTGGGTTAAAAACTGGGTCAAGCATAAATATAAAAGCACATCTTGGTATGATGCACAACATAAACACAGACAGTCCACTTTATATTGAGGTAGTCTAGGTAGTAATAATCAACACAATGTCAGTCTGGTTTGAATAGTTTCAATTACTATTTATTCTACCTGAAAAATATAGTGAACTGCTCAAGTTAATGTTTTAAAAAATCTTTGCTCAATTCTATTATGTGTACGCTTAAATTCCTGGTTTTTGTCAAATTTGCATTCTGGATCCAAGTGAACTGATAGGCACTGTGAGCCACGATTTGGTTGATTTGGATAAGTGCTTTGGCAAATCGCTAAATTAAATTGTTGTGAGCGCTTCACTTATATAAATACACACATTGATCTGTGTTGATACAATTTACTTAAATAAAAACGCCTTAAGTTGTTATCCCTGTTAAAATTTATTGTTTTTATCTTTCTTGACTATCAGTGGATATCAAAATGTAGAACATTATTATTTGCAGTTTAAATGTATCCAAAGATTCCCAGATGAAATTAGCAGAAGCCAGACCTGCAACAGTAAGTATCGACTCAAATCCAAAACCTCTTGCCCTCATATCTGAAGAAATCTTACGTGTTATATCTTGACTACAATATCCACGGAAGTTTGTAAATGCAGCGTTTTGATTTGATTGGCTTGTACGATAGCAAATACAGGGAATCAGGCCTTGACAGATAGTCTGCATACAATAAGCCGTAATGTTAACAGTTGTTCTGTTAAGGAGTGCAAACATTGACTATTTGCAGGAAATCTGGATGAGAACTTAAGCGACAGTTTACCCATTTTTTTGATCAATTTAGTCTCAGAAACAGAAAATTTTGAGCTCTAAGCTAATCAGTGATAGTGTTCACAACTCACCGTCGCAATTTGAGCCTTCAGATCCACGTGTGTCCAGAATTATCCATGTAGGAAAGTTAAAATGACGACCTGTCTTTTTCTGTCATACATATATAGAAAAAGAATGTGAAATGCCTAGTTTAAAGTAATTTTGAAATAATTTTGCGATTTTCATACATTTCTAGTACTTCTGAAAACTATTAACATATATTCAAGAATAAAATTAACCCACGAAAATTGTGAATCTGTCCCTTTAATTTGATATCTATTGTATATACTAGTAATAAAAGGGAGACAACTCTATTTTCAGATTGCTTCAGCCAGTAGAATTCCAGGAATAACTCCGGCAGCTGTCTATATATTATTAAAATACGTTAAAAGACAACAGAATATTCTCACCACAGATTGCTCCTAGCATATACTCGGACTAGAAACTTGTAGTGTTAGTTACTAGGGAGTGGAAGTGGACACCAAGCCAACTCTCGGAAGCACTGGTGCAGATCTCCGAATTTGTTTCTTACCTTGAGCAGGATTTGAACAATTAGGTATAAGTGGGTGATAGCCAACACCAGGCTGACTCTGGGAAGCACAGGCGCAGATCTCCGACTTTTTCTTACCTTGAGGAAGATTTAAATCCACAGCACCTCACTGCCTTGCAGACGACAATCTAATCCAGTTAGCTACAGACTGAGTTATTCCACTGTCACTGTGTTAGTGATTAGGGAGGTTGATAAGAAACCAGTAACTATTGACAAGCAATTAGTCACTATTCAACAGAAAGCACTGTGTTTAAATGTGTTTTCATGTTAATTTAAAATGAATTAAAATCAAAGAAGAAATCAAATAAGGTTATCATGTATATATGATTATACATGGACTTAAATTGATAATACATTTACTAATTGGCACTAATAATGATAATAAAACAGGACATAGCTTTCTTTTTACAAAGGAAAGTAATTCGCTGTAAATGTGTTAGTGTAAAGGATGGGAGAAATCATTTCAACATCAATCAAACCATAAACTAACTCCATACTGGTTCACAACAGGCATGGCAGAGCCACAAATGCAGCAGGGAATGACTTAGCCACCTCATGTTGAAAGAGCCTGGTCCAAATACTAACTCCAAATGATATTATTCTATATAACTAAGCATGTGATTCAGAGCCTTCTTCTCAAAAAACTTGATGTTGATGAAAACCAGATTTATTTGAATGTGATTGATATATAAAACTGAATTTAAAATTGATTTTAGTGATTGATCAATTGGATGAAGACAATAGGGGGATGATTAGTTTGTGAGTTTATTTACAGTGTGGTAAAAAAAAAGGATTGCCAACTTTTTGTTGTTTTAATCTATATTTAATGTATTGATATGATGGGCCATATGAAAATCCTGTAAAAAATAGAATGGGTACTCCTGAGTTTCATTCAAAATTGGGGGCTCATATATCTTACAAAATTCTATAATGAATAGCTGAAATTGAGTTTTAGAATAATTTTTTTTTTTACCAGCTATCAATATATTTCAGCTATTTATAGCATTGCTAGTAAGTCTAATATTTAAAGTGATATTACGTCTTAGAATGAACATAAAATTTAATTCTCAGGAATGGTCAATATGAGTATATATTCATCAGTGAACTTACCTGTTGTCATAAAGTTACAACAGAATCTGGAAACTTTGAAAATTCATTAAACTAAGTAATTATTGAAAAACGCTTAATCATAATATTAAGCGTTTTTCAAAAGTTAATTGCATTTTTATTAAGTTTTTTGGATTTATCGGATTATATAAGGAACCTGTTATGTTATCTATGACACTATGTATATCTACTGGTGAATATATGCTCTCATTGGCCAAGTTTAAAATTTTCAAATTTTATGTTTATTCTAAGACGTAGTATTCCTTTAAGTAACTCTGATCCTATAACAGGATAAGAGTTACAATTTTTAATGTAAGGTTGAAAGAGAAAGAAAGAGGTACTAGTATTGCAGTGTTGGCAAGATATTGATAATTAATTGTAGTCTGGAAAACGTTAGTTATGTCCCTTCACAAGATGTTGACATCAACAACACATTTTGTGTTTCTGATGATGGTGCAACTGCAAGGAGTTGGTTCCTTCTTACTTTGGTTGTTGAAAGAGATTTAGTATTATTTATTTAGAGACTACAGTCGTCAAGTTGAGGTAAGGCAGTGTTGATTAATTTGTCGTAATTTGTTATTTTGGACCCTCATATTTGAACAATGTTAAGGATTTCAAGTCTTTTTGTGCAAGACTGTAGCACTGTATGTGATTGTAGGCGTGAGACCTATCAAAGCCCTATCATAAAAGGCCATTAAATTATGGCAATGTATAGAACCAAGGTCAGGAGACAGGATAATAATTAACCTTAATGACAAGTCTCAGAGACAGAAGCTGCCATAAGGCCAAGAGCAGTCCTATACTCAGTGGTGTAGCCAGGATTTCATAGAAAGGGGTGGGAATCCGAGCACCTCACCTCCCCTTTTGGATTTTAGAGGGCACTAGTCATGCTTCATAGCATAGGGGCCTCTCCCTGGACAATTTTCTAATCTAAGAAGGCAAAGAATAGTCTAGCCTACATCTAACATGATTTTTGCAGTGCAAGTAAAATAAATACCCGATTGCCTACCAGTATCTAAATGGTAAGCCTATGTAAGATTATAGTTATATGGACATACTTCTATTTTAGTATGGTATAAATAAGATGATCTAGCCTGAACCTTACCTGTAATAAAGTTAAAATGGATCAGTCCCCCTTCTTAGCTCAGGACTGATAGCTGATAATTTCTTCTTTTCAGATTAATATCTGAGACATAGACGATGATGATGATGGATATTTTGAACGACACTCTTGAATTTTTACTCCAATCCACATTAGATATCTCATCAAACCATATTGTTATTACTGTGGTTCTCAGTTTTATCACATTAATTTTAATATGGACTAGTGTTAAAACAGTACAGTCGAGTGTTAAGGATCCACAAGAAACTGATATGACAGAAGAGCCTGTGGAATCAGACGCCTGTCCCTATCCTAATTGTGTACGATGTCATCAGCGAACTGAGATTTTAAACGAAGCTCTACAAAGATTAAAGAAATTCAAGGAAGAAAATGAACAGAAACCTACTTTGTTGCCAGAAGTCGAAATTCAACTAAGCAAAAAAAAATACAAATATCTGAATCGCTTACAAAAACCGATAGTGTTTTATCTTCCCAGCTTACGATACAAAGATTTAGATGAAAAAATCGAGAAAATTTGCAAGAATTTTTTTATGCCACTAAAAGATATTGTAGAAGAATATGAAAATTTGAAAAAACATTCAAATTGTAGTTTTAAAGAAAATACAGTCGATTCTGGCTCGTGGAAAATTTATCATTTAATTGATCAGGGAAGAGAAACTAACAATGCAAAACTTTGTTCAAAAACAATGAAATATGTAAAAAAAAATCACCATGGTACCAAATTTATGCAAGGGACTAAATTTACTAACGTAGCTTTCTCGTGTCTTTCCCCTGGGACAGTTATTCCTCAACATTACGGTCCCACCAATTTCAGGATTCGCTGTCAATTACGTAAGTAGTTTTACATGCTCATATCTCTACAGAAGACTATATTTCAAAAGAAAAATTTGTTAGCGTACTGACATAAAAAATGTTAGATATTTTCGGCTGATTATTTATTGGCTCATCTGCCCGTGTTCAAATTTTTTCAAGGGATCTATATTTTTCAACCAATCGAATGTGACATTCAGAATGGCTGCCTCTACCAAGATTTTATAATTTGAAATTGGTGCATACCTCCCATTGATTGAGTTTTTTTTTTTTTCAGCTTTAAAAACTGAGATTGAGGGTACACAGTGGATTCAGTGTGGATTAGAGAAAAAATTCTATTACAGTTCAATACCAATATATATGGATGACTCCTTTTTACATTCTGCTACAAATATTGGGAAAGATGACAGAGTGGTTTTATTGTTTGACATCTGGCATCCCGACCTGTCAAAAATCAACAGAGAATTTTTACAGCAAATCTTTTCTTGTGATGAATAAATGTGTAGATGGGTTTTTGTTTTTAGTGATTTGACTTCATTAGGACATTTTTTTTATACCTAAATACCTATTAGTGCTCAAGGCACAGTGGTGGCTCAGTGAGCTCCTTGCTAAGATTGTTTCCCGCTGCCCCTGTTAGTGATGCAGGCTCAATATCAATTTTATCCTTGTACTAGGAAGTATAATGAAAGGGGGTGTGGTTTGGACAAGTTTTGGGTTTCCCCTTGTCAGTGATGCAGGTGAGAGGGGTCTGACATGGAAAAAGCGTCTAGTCGTTCGGACGGGACAATAAACCGAGGCCTCGTGTGCTACAGGCTGTGCACGTTGAAGATCCCTCAACAGTTGGGGAAATCGAAAAAGAGCAGGCTAATGCTGCTGTCCTGGCAAAATTTCCCTTATACACCCTGCAGTGGTGAGCTTCCCTGTTATGCTTGTTTCCCCCTTTGTGATACAGACTAAACATCATTTCATCCCCAATATGGGTTTTGATATAGTCTAATAAACTAGGTAGTATGACAAATAGGGGTGTGGTAGCAGAGCGTAAAGAGGGGGGGCAGCATGACTCTCATAACTAGGTTAGAAATTCAGGCAACCTCTGATATTTCCACCACTGAGTAGTTTGGACATGCTGGCTAAAGGCTGTTATTTATTCCTACTAGTGCTCCAGGATCATTGGTGGCTGAGTGAGTTACTTGCTACACTTATTTCCCCTTGTACTTGATTCTGTAGATCCTTTGTGAGGTGGGAATTGAAATATAGTGGGTTCATACCTCTGTCCTGGAATTGTTTCCCCTATTGCACATTTTATAGGGTTGGACTTCTTTATAACCCAATCAGGTGCAGAAAAGAAGGAAGTAAAACTCCACATCTTTGTCATTTGACTAATGCTCCATTTATTGGTGAAAAAATTACTATGTGAATATCTTCAAATATTATTTGTGACCTTTCTTTTAATATGTTATGCTTTGTTGTTGCTTTGTATAGACACCAAAATGTATGCCAAATTTTGTCTTTGTCATAATGAAACTTCTCATAAACTAGTGACCCATATTGGGTCAAGGCAACTCCCATAAATGGTGACTTTTAGCCCAGCCCTTAAGGTGGCAATATCTGATGAACATGTAGGCCCCAAAACATACTTATCTACTTCTGTTGTCTCAGAAACCGGAATTTTTTTTAGCAAAGGCAATCAGTAATAGAGTTCACAGCTCACCATTATAATCCATGCATGTCCAGAATTATCCGCTTTTGAAAGTTAAATAACTGATGGAAGAGACGTATAGAAATAGGAAATGATATTCCTAGTTCGAGATATTTTTGAAGTAATTATGCGTTTTTTGTAACTATTTGTATTACTGAAGAATACTTACATCTACTTAAGGCTCAATTTGGCCCCCCAATATGGCAAATCTGTCGCTTTAAGTTAAACCTAAAGAAGACTGCTCATATTCATAGATGTTTCATCAGCACTTTAGCTTACATGAGAACATATTTGCAATTTTAAAGGGATTGTAAAGAGGTTTTCTTGCCCTGGTTTTTTATGTGTGGCACACAGCTTCTATTTACACCATTCTGATTTCCCCTTTTGACTTCTTTGGTTCCAGCAAATTCAAGACTAGTTAGACATTACTATCCCAAATGTCATTCGAAATAATAATGAAATTTACACATTACTCTTATGCTCTAACAATTCCTTTAATTCTCAGAGGGTAGGGCCTTGGGGGTTTCCATGGAAATAAAAACAAGATGTAGACCGGTTCAATATTACAACTTTGTTCAATAATATTACAAAATCCAACGGTTTTTCAGCTTTTATACAAATGGCGAGCCAATCTCATTATTTCATAATTAAAACAGAAATGTTTTTACAGAAAAATAAAGCACAAAGCAATGATAAAGCAAGAATTTTCAGTACTGTGCCATTACAGATTAGATTGTAATATTTTGTAATTCATAAATACATGATTTTTACTAATACAGGGCAGCTCCCCGTTTCTCAAATATTCGTACAACTAAACTTGCTCGTTAAGTGAAGAAAAATGTTAAAATTAACATTTACTCTCCAACGTTAATCTACGATATTTTGATAAACGGGGGCCAGGTGTTTTATTTCTACCCCCAACACTTGCAACAAGTAGTGATGTAAATTTCTTGTCATGTTTCCTCACAACAATGGAGCTTAATGATTTTTGATGAAACAACGATAAAATGAGGCATATTTTAGTTGTCATTATTTTCGCCATAATTGTTTAGTCAAGGCTTGGACCAGAATTAACCATCCCTTTCCCACTTAATTTAGCAATGGACTTTTCAATCTATGCCAACTCCATCAATTTCGATGACTAAATTTGCATGAACAGAAGAGTCCATTAAGCCTAAAAGGTAAGAGGCAAAACTTCATACTCTGCCTTTCTGGTCAAATACAATGTGATCTATGTATGACATGACATCGTGTTTTTTGCCGAAGTCAAGATTTAAAAAAAAACTCAAGTTTCCCACGTACAGTCATTCTGTAAGTGATAATACGTAATTGTGTCAAGCTGAAAAACAGTCAAATAATTCTGGAACATAAAAAAATGTCCTATTGCATGAAACTCCATGTTGGATACAGCACTTGTATATAGTCAGATGAATTACAAAAGAAATTTAGAAGATTGTCTCTCACAGTACAGCTTGGTGTCCATCTACATTCTAATTTTTGATAAAAAGAGTTCTGATTTACAATCACTAAGATCGTTTAGTTGAATTATAGTTACACCCTCGAAACGCTGTTTAAGTACATCAGCACTGGCTGTATACAACATTTTCTTTTTTATCGAAGCACAGTCTGGAACACTGAAATGAAGCAAAACAAGTTATTAGCACAGAGAACTTATGGGATTTGTGAAATATGACAATTCTAATAGAAAGAATTGAACAAGATTTTCTAATAGGCAATTCAACTAATACTAAGTGTTTGATGAATAGAACAAGACTTTCTAGGGGTTATGAAAGGTTGGCTTTGAGGTCAAAAGATCCAGACATGCATGACATGACTCAGTTTTCAAGAATAAGGTGATTGATACTAAGATCAATATCAATTAATGTCCTTTTAGGTCAAAAGGTAAGCAAATCATTACTAAATCAAAATGATTACAGAATCCTAATTTGCCAATCATTTACGCATAACACAAGTCAAAATTTGGGTATGATTCAAAACATGTCAATCGAGTTACAACCCTTGTACTGAAAATTTATTATTGGGTAAGTGCCAGAGGGCATATTTCTTGCTTGCTTGACAATTGTTTGTTCAAAGCTTTTACAACCTCTTTAGGATTATGATTGTGTGGGGCTAACAGTGGTCTCTTCTCTTATCAATTTAATCACCAGTGGTGTTAGATGTTGAGGTAAACATCGTCTCATAAAAAACACTGGCCTAGGTCACGAAGTACAGATTCATGCATTGGTTTCATTTTATATTTTTAATCCTAGTAGTTTACACTCCAATTACAAGTAGTATCCTAACCTAGGCTCTAAAACTAATTCAGAAGGTGGTCATATTCATAGCCTAATCCCTTAAGATTAAGTAGTTGATTGTTTTGATAATGTTGATTACTGATTAAGTAGGCCTAAATCTATTTAAATAATCATCACATCACACATAATAAATGACAATACCCAGTACAGGATATGAATTGTCAACTTCTGTTTGTAGTTGTTTAAATTCAAAGAAAAATTGACTGGCAAAAGGCGAATCTGAGGAATTATACTAGAATATATAGGCCTAACAAACTTATATTATAGGATCACAAAATATTGATTGATATCAAGCAGCCTTGGTCTATGAATAAAAATATCATGGTAATTATATTGTTCCTTATGTGACGAGGGGATAACCACCGTCACTGGAATGAAATAACTAGGAAGGAAAAAGTAAAAAAAAGTTGTGGAAGTTGAAAATAGCAAGAAATTCATAGCAGGTCCTGGCCTTGAAGCTGGATGATATAATATTGAGAGCGTCACTGGATGATTCAGAGACTGAGAAGAGATGCTGTCAGTGTCAGGTTTAATAAAACAAAAGGTTGACTTACTACTGAACAAAGAATATGTTTTCCTTCAATATACCCGCAATATTTGGAGCACTCATGAGAAAAACTACAAATCTACATTGATTATCTTGAAGCAATTCCATTAATTCTTGTAAACATCCTTCTGGATCTTCATTAGGACAATTTTTCGCAGGCATTTTTTCCACCTCAAAAACTTCTGTCGTTTTATTACTACCCTCAACTGATTTCGAGCTGATTATAATGGATAAATATCTGTGTGCCTTGCCCATTTTGAGTTTCTCAAATTGAGTTTCTAATTCTTTGGGAAATTCTATTCCAGAAGACATCTCGAATGTTCAAATTAGTTCCAAAATTATACCGGCAAAGTAAATCCAAGATGGCTCCTTCTTGTCAGTGGACTACTTCCTATCACGCCTGAAATGATCACCAAAAAATCCTTCACTTTATTTTCAACAGGAGACTAAAAATCTTTAAACATTCAACAAAATATTGGAAATATATAATAAAATTGGTACTGAATCATTTCTATTAATAAATCAAAAGACAATACAGATTACTTACGTTATGGCTGAATTCCTTGTTGCCTGTCGAACCTCTGTTACGCAGGGCGTGTGGAAGTTGAATTTGATTGGTTGAAATAAAACAACATGGCGAAGGCTTCTTACAAATAAAGTAATGTGACTCATCAGGTCGAAGGGGAAATCGCCATATACGGTAAAAACTTCTTGGAATGGCCCACTATTTGAAAGGGTGAACAAAATATATTTTACAACAATTTAAAATATTGAAGCGGACGATACGCTGATCGTCTAGTCGCGTATATCGTCAGACATTTCTTGATAATGACTTCTCTAGTCCGTTTTTATATCTTTAGCAACATATATTTACTATTAATACTAGTATATTTCGATTTTTCACTCGTTTCATTTATTTTTAGAAAATACTGTAATTCAATAATGTTTGTGAAAATAAATCTACTCTGAAAGAAAATAAATTAAGCACCAGATTCTTTTAGACAATTGTCACCAATATACTAAACAAATGTCACCAATATATATTATACTAGACACTTGTCACCAAGATATTTTTTACTAGAAAATTGTCACCAAGATACATTATACTAGACGATTGTCACCAAAATATATTACACTAAACACTTGTCAACAAGATATTTTATACCAGACAATTGTCAACAAGATATTTTATACTAGACAATTGTCACCTAGATATTTTATACTAGACAATTGTCACCAAGATACGTTATACCAGACTATTGTCACCAAGATACATTATACTAGACAATTGTCACCAAGATACGTTATACCAGACTATTGTCACCAAGATACATTATACCAGACTATTGTCACCTAGATATTTTATACCAGACAATTGTCACCTAGATATTTTATACCAGACAATTGTCACCAAGATACATTATACCAGACAATTGTCACCAAAATATATTACACTAGACAATTGTCACCAAGATATTTTATACCAGACAATTGTCACCTAGATATTTTATACCAGACAATTGTCACCTAGATATTTTATACCAGACAATTGTCACCTAGATATTTTATACCAGACAATTGTCACCTAGATATTTTATACCAGACAATTGTCACCAAGATATATTATACCAGACAATTGTCAACAAGATATTTTATACCAGACAATTGTCACCCAGATAATTTATACCAGACAATTGTCACCAAGATATTTTATACCAGACAATTGTCACCAAGATATTTTATACCAGACAATTGTCACCAAGATATTTTATACCAGACAATTGTCACCTAGATATTTTATACCAGACAATTGTCACCTAGATATTTTATACCAGACAATTGTCACCTAGATATTTTACACCAGACAATTGTCACCTAGATATTTTATACCAGACAATTGTCACCAAGATAATTATATTATACCAGACAATTGTCAACAAGATATTTTATACCAGACTATTGTCACCAAGATATTTTATACCAGACAATTGTCACCAAGATACATTATACTAGACAATTGTCACCAAGATACATTTTACCAGACAATTGTCACCAAGATACATTATACTAAACAAAATAATATCACCAAGATATATTATACTTGACAATTGTCACCAAAATATATTACACTGGACAATAATTGTCACCTAGATATATTTTACCAGACAATTGTCACCTAGATATTTTATACCAGACAATTGTCACCTAGATATTTTATACTAGACAATTGTCACCAAAATATATTACACTAGACATTTGTCACCAAGATACATTATACTAGACAATTGTCACCAAGATATATTTTACCAGACAATTGTCACCTAGATATTTTATACTAGACAATTGTCACCAATATATTTATACTTTACAATTGTCACCAAGATACACTATACTAGACAATTGTCAACAAGATCCATTTTACCAGACAGTTGTCACCAAGATACATTATACTAAACAAAATAATATCACCAAGATATATTATACTTGACATTTGTCACCAAGATATATGACACTAGACAATAATTGTCACCAAGATATATGACACTAGACAATAATTGTCACCTAGATATATTATACTTGACAATTGTCACCAAGATATATGACACTAGACAATAATTGTCACCAAGATATATGACACTAGACAATAATTGTCACCAAGATATTTGACACTAGACAATAATTGTCACCTAGATATATTATACTTGACAATTGTCACCAAGATATATGACACTAGACAATAATTGTCACCAAGATATATGACACTAGACAATAATTGTCACCAAGATATATGACACTAGACAATAATTGTCACCTAGATATATTTTACTAGACAATTGTCACCAATATATTTATACTTTACAATTGTCACCAAGATATATTATACTTTACAATTGTCACCTAGATATATTATACTTGACAATTGTCACCAAGATATATGACACTAGACAATAATTGTCACCAAGATATATGACACTAGACAATAATTGTCACCAAGATATATTTTACCAGACAATTGTCACCTAGATATATTTTACCAGACAATTGTCACCTAGATATATTTTACCAGACAATTGTCACCTAGATATATTTTACTAGACAATTGTCACCTACTAGACAATAATTGTCAAGACATATTGAACTAGATAACTATCACCAGAAAGGTCCTTTTAACCCTATGGCTTTACGGTAAAAGGGAGATAACAATATTTTGCGATGTCTCCTCTGAATGAAACGAAAAATTGTGATTTTGAAATTAGATGTCAAATGTTTCATATTTTGTAATTTTATTTTCATGAAAATCTTACTCCAAAGGTTTGATCACTTACTTCAAACCTCCTACTTAATGTTTCGTTTTTTGATGAAAGATTCCAAGGAATCCTATTTTTTGTATTGCCGTTGTCAGGAACAATGAAAATAGTTCGGTAAAAGACGCGTTTTATGAATATTTTTCACAAAGTTACTTAAAACCAACATGTTTATAAATTTGAACTAGAAGAAAACTTTTTTTGGCTAGTAATTTTCCAAAAATAGAGAAATGGTTTAAAAAAGCTGCGAACTATTTCTTGCGTATGAATATACTGGCGTCATTGACAACGAGACTAATCCTGTTAGGTTTGTTTACAAAATGGTGAAACTCGTTCTATTGCATTATTTTTATTGACAAGGGGCATGAGGCAGTTCTTCAGTGCTAAATAACGGTAAATAATCATGGATGACCCACGTATCGAGTGGTTAAGAAACCGGGTCTTTCAGGCCTTGGATGTCCAAGATAATCAAGTTTTTGAAGATCTTTTAGAAAGAGATGATGGCATTGCTGAAAGACAACTTCTCAAATATCTTAACGATACACCAAACGACAATGAAACTGCGATGTTATTTTATAAAGTTATTGCTGAAGAGGAAGAAGAAATTGAAGTAGAATGTGGTATGTTCTCTCAGTTCTGTCTTAGTCGTCTTATAACTAATTTATTCTTTATATGGATTGTTGGCCACAGTTAGACATGGTTGGAATATGAAATTCAATTTGAATTGTATAATCTAAATAGACAAAGAGGTGCCTTATGAAAACCTGTTGTCGGCTTGACTGGAATGTCACTTATGTCATAAACTTTTTTCTAATATCTTCCGTATTTTTCAACTCGGTTTCTTCTTGTCAGTGATGCAGGTTGGAGTAGCTGACATGGAAAAATGGTCTAGTTGTTCGGATGGGACTAAAAACTGAGGCCTCTTCTTGTTCCACAGGCTGTGCATGTTAAAGATTCTGCAACGGTTGGAAATGGAAAATGTCCCTTGTTTCACACTGCATTGTGTTGCCCATCTTAATTGGCCCATAAAGTACAGAAGAGTAGGACGTAAAACTCAATTCATTTCAATTCATTTTTTAATTACGGTATAAATTTATATTTTTAGAGCCTGAGATTCCAGATATAGAACAGGAAGTTGGTGAAGAAGGAGGGGTAGGGGATGGGGAGTCTGTAGATCAGACAGGAGAACAACCCCTCCCTGTTTCTACACCTACTGGTTCTATTCTAGAGAAAGATGATGACACTGCCAGTCAAAAAGGTTGGTAGATTCTCTCTAACCACTGAGCAACATTTAGTTTTTCTTGGATGATCCACATCTTCACATCTTTTACAGCTAGATTAACCTGTTTATAAGTGGTTCTTATATAGCTCTTGGACTACAAACCAAGATGCTAATCAACTCTTTTATGTCTTTTTGCTATCTTGTTTTTCTCACTTTCAACATCTGATATTTACAGGTAAAAAGAAGGTAAAAGGAATTAAGGGTGGCAAAGATACGCCAACGCCATCAGAAGTTGAAAGTGAAGCCCCTAAGATAGAAGAAGTTAAACAAGAACCTACAGAAAATGACACAGGAGAGGAAGAACAGACTGATAAAGCTCCTAAAACTGTGAGTTTATAAATTTAAGTTTATGAATTTTTACCTGATTTGAAAAAGAAATGTATTTGAACTTTTGGAAAATTATTATGGAAAGTTAAATCTGATTTAAATTAATTCATTAAATTTTGCACAATGAAATGTAAATATATTCTTACCTGTTGCTGGATTGATAGCCGCCCCTTGAATAATCCCCCCACATATTTTGATCTATGTTGAATACAACAGTGTTATAAAAAAATTAAAAATTTATTACAGAAAATTATAATACAGAAAGTGTTCAGGACGTATTTATTCATGTGTTATGAACACCTACCAGAGGAAGTGTCTGATTTAAACAGTGTTTATTTTCTACGTAACACCCCCGGCATGGTGCCCTTACCTAACAGTGTTGAGGAAGCTGATGAAATGTTGCCAGGATATTTTGAGTTTGGTGTTTTAAATGGACATTCATTAGTCATGTTGGAACAAATTATTACACAAGTAAGTTTCTGATATTTTGAATTAGATTGAAATAATACAAAGTATAGAAAGAGTGTGTCAAAATAAATACAAAATACCAATAATTCAGTAAGCTTAGTTTATTTTTGAATATCTGAATCTAAAATACGAATAAACTTAATAATGATCCGAAATTCTGACTCAGAATGAGGTCTTATTACACCCCAGTACAAGGGGGACAAACATGGAGTCTTCATGGTTCAAAACACCAAATAACGTGGTTCTGTCTAACATTCAGCCCATGGGGACAAATATATTCTCTCTTTTTTGCATGGGTCATGGTTATGGTCTGATATTCAGCTAGTGGAGGCAAACATAGATAGCCAGTAAATGATATTAAACAAACTTTATCTTTCAGGTTTACATGCCTCTGTTGTCATTTAACCAACATAAAAATGGTGAGACGAAATCAGCCCATCATGCACGATTATCTGAACATAGAGCTGGAAGTCGACAGGATACAGGGACAACACAATCTTCAGAATCTTCAACCCCAGAGGAATCTAGCAAAATTAATGTGGCGGAGTCCAGAGCAAAGGCATTATTACGTGATGAGTTTTTAATTAGTATGCAAAAGTTCTCCGCCAGTATTAATCGAACATTACAACAAATCGAAGGCGAAGTTCGGCTGGAAATACCAGAACTTGAGGTTGGCTCAAACATTGACGAGATCTTGGCAAACAATGATCTGATGTGGCAGATTCGTGAAATTTGTGGGGAATGGCGTAAACAAGTTCAAGAAGCCTTGGATTCTCAATTGAAAAAGGGACATCACTCTAATGGTCCTTTAGCAGAAATTGACTTTTGGCGGGAACGTAACGCTTCATTAAGTGCGCTAAGTGAACAGTTAAAAATTCCAAAAGTGAAACAGTTTTTAAAGATTTATAGTCAGGTTGACAGTGATTTTGATGACCTCATCAGCGAATTAACAAAATACGACACAGAGGCCAAGGATAATGTCCGATTTTTATCCACGTTGGAACGCCATTTTAAGAATATTGCTCACGGTGCCACCTTTCAAGTGGTGATTGAGACAATCCCGTCAATGATGAATGCTTTAAGAATGGTGTGGATTATTTCCCGCCATTATAACAAGGATGAAAGAATGGTACCGTTAATGGAAAGAATCGCCTGGGAATTGGCAGAACGTGTTGCTAAGGTGATTGATGTAAGAGAGATATTTGAGTAAGTCAGTTTATATTTTTTCCTTCTGAATCTTTTGAAATATTTAAGGAGATGAGCTCTTACATGATCCGAAAATGTTGTTTGCCTTATGCCCCTTGAAATACAATTGAGGGAGCTGCGGTGGCTCAGTGAGTTAGACGCTTGCTCGCTAACCTGAAGGTCCAGGGTTTAATCCCGGCACAGGTCAAGATGATACCTTCAGACTTTTCAACCTGGTTTCCCCCTGTCAGTGATGTAGGTAACAGGGGCTGACATGGAAAAAGCGTCGAGTCGTTCGGATGGGACAATAAACCGAGGTTCCGTGTGTTACAGGCTGTGCACTTTAAAGATCCCTTGACAGTTGGAAATAGAAAAAGTGCAGGCTAATGCCGCTGTCGTGGCAAAATTTTCCTCATTGCACCCTGCATGGCGTTGCCCGTCTTCATTAGTCCACATGGTGCAGCAAAGTAGGATATAAAACTCCATTCATTTCATTTCATTTTGAAATACGATTGAGATCCTTTTAGTACCGATCGGGGGTTATTTCTTTGTGTTCCTTTATCTTTGGTTTTCTACCCCAAAAATGCCTATTTCTTTGTTAAAACTTTTTCTATAATTTGTTAGCGATGGTACAGATGAGGTGAAAACTAAAACAGCAGAAGCGTCTAAAATGTTGACAACGTGGAGAGAGTCCTATTTTGAAGTTCGTGGAATGATTGAAGCGTCTGGTCGAGATCAACGTTGGGAATTTGACAGAAAGAAATTATTTGAAAGAACAGACTATATGACTAGTATTTGTGATGATTTACATGAAATAGCTCAGGTAGAGTAAACAATATTGGTAAAGGGGTTGAGAGCTGACATGAGATTGACTTTCGCAAGCACTGGTTGTGTCATAATAACTGTTATCTTGAGTAGGGACAAATCCGACTTTTGATAACCAGCTGATGTGCAGAGCTCCTGTGCGAAACAACTCAACGAAATCAAAACCCATTGTGGGCAGCATGTGATAAGCTCGTGTCAATTAGCTAAGAGCAAACTTATTTGCAGGAGAAATTTTCTAAGGTAGTAAGCTTGCTTATTCCTTGTTATACAAAAATTATTACATTTTGAAACATTATTCCAGGTTTTAGAGGAATTCTATAATATATTTGGACCAGAGTTAAAATCAGTAACAGGAGATCCTAAGAGAATTGAAGATGTAGTTTATAGAGTGGATGCTTTAGTCTTTCCTATTCAACAGGTAATCTAATTTTTCACTTCAGCAGAGATTGATTCATTTACAGTGTCTTTCTACTAAATCAAAAAGATATAGATTTTGATATGTTTTTGGCACCTCAAAATTGTCAGAAATGAGTTCTCTGGGCCTTCAATTCTTCAAATTTTTTGAATACAAAATCATTCCTGGCGATGGGGCTGCTTTTAATTTGGGTTCTGAAATGTGCACTTGGTACTTTCACAATTCTATTGATATTCGGAAAGGGTTCAGATCATGCAACAATAAAAAGTCATGTGGAGGAGATGAAAAAAACCTTTTCATACACTAGATCACTGAATGTGGCATGTCTCCTTTGGGCTTATAAAGTTTAGGTGTAAAAACAGAGTTTTATGAGTTTCTTGGGCTGCCTGACTGTCTTTTGAAAGGCCGTTTCACATATTTACCAAGTATATGCTCAGAGAGAAACCTGTGCTTGGCACAGTGACAATTTTCTGGCTTCAAAATGCTATAAGATGTCTCCTGTCATACAAGTAGAATTGACTCCACCATATTTGTTTTTCAGATAACATTTGATCCGTTTTCTCAAAAAGAACAGCATCAATGGCATCGACTAAAAGCTAATTTTAAAAAAGAAGTTGAAGAGATTGAAGGAGAAGCCAAGATGTTTATTGATGAATCTTTTAAAACTTTACGATCAGCGGAGGGAGCTTTCGACATGTTGTTAAATTTTAAACATATTAGATCACGTGAGGCCATTAATAACCAAATGATGCAGAAATTTAAAGATATTTTAAATCAATATGGAAAAGAGGTGATTTGATTTTTTTGTTCCTGGTGTTTTTCCTGTTAATGTGTTCTAGGCCCTGACTAAAAAAACACAAAACATCCTGATATGTGCTGGTTGGTACTGCAGTTAATTTCAGGCTGATTCGCACCAATTCATTATCATTATGTTTCTTTTACTAATATAAAGAAAAAAGGATTTAAGTTTAGATTTTGAACCCTTAATACAAACTGTTTCTCAAGAGAAAAATAATAACTTCAGAGAAGATTTCCAAATCAATGATGATTATGATTGCTTCAGAAACTACCTAAAATAGAACCCTAAAATATCTAAATACCTATGTGACTTTTTGATTTAAAACGTATTATTATTTTCAGGTTGATACAATGGATCATTTATTCCGAGAGTTTCAAGATAGCCCACCTCTAAATAAAAACAACCCACCAACTAGTGGAACTATATTCTGGGAGAGATCTTTATTCCATCGTATTAAACACACGATAATCAGATTTCAAACTATGGACGAAATGATGTTAACAGCTGATGGGAAAGATGTAAGTTGATTTTTCTTTCGTGGATAGGTCAATATACTACCTATTGTCTTGTTCCGTGCACCTCAAAAGTATTGTATGATGAAGTTTTTATTTTTAATCTTGTAAAATTCTCACTCTAAATCTGTGTAATTCATACTTGCGATACATTTTGATTGTATGATTTTTTAAGAAACATCTAGGCCAAAATTCTAGTATTTTCAAGTAACCTGGCCACATATTCTCGAAACGATCTTAGCGCTAGGACATCCTAGAATCAATGTTAGAATATAAATCTAGGACATCCTAAGGCTAAGATCGTTTTTGAGAATACATGGCCTGTACTTTAGACATCCTATATTCAGCCTCTCCCTCTCCCCTGCTCATTCAACACTGTATGAAATTTAAACATTATTTTGACAATTTTTGCAACTCATGTTTAAATCAGAAACATCAGAAAATAGTTTTCTGTTAACATCACAATTTATTTTCCAGACTCGAGCTAAATATTTAAAAGTTGGTAAAGATATGAAAAGATTTGAAGATATAAAATATGAACAATGGCGTGATCACGTTGAACAGATTTTACCTTCATTGTTACGCCGTAATTTATTACTAAAACCTCATCATGCTCAATCTGGTAACCAACAACAACAACCTGCTATACAACATCCCGAGGATGGAACTCCATCAGGAGAAGGTTCGTGCTTAAAACTTTTTGAAAATCTGTTATATCGGGAAAAAACTGTGTTTTACCTGAAGACTGAAGGGAGATAATTTGAAGACTAAAGGGAGACAATTTGAAGACTGAAGGGAAATAATTTGAAGACTAAAAGGAGGTAATCCAAAGACTAAATGGCAATATCTTAAAAGGGGGAAACTATTTAAGGACTCAAGGGAGACAATTTGAAGACTAAAGGGAGATAATTTGAAGACTAAAGGGAGACAATTTGAAGACTAAAGGGAGATAATTTGGAGATTAAAGGGAGACATTCGATACTATTTGTTTACCTTTAAGATTTTATGAATTATAAAAGACATTCATTATTTCATTCTGTAAATAGATGGACCAGATCGACCTTCTAGAGAGTCATTTGTTGGTAAGAAAACATACCAATTACAAATTTTAATCATTTTCTGTGCCTTAACATTTGAGCAAAAAAATTGTAAAATTTAACAAATAGATGTGTATGAGTTTGAGGCATGTTTCTCAAAATACTTAACTGAGATAAAGTCAAGATTTTATGAATGGTAGTAATCTGATTGGTTAATAAAACTCAATTTGAAATATGTTTTAGTAATTGACCAATCAAATGAATGGAACATCTTCAGTCAAGTTTTTTGAGAAACTGGTCTCATTATTGTCATTACTTTTTATATAGATAATATATTTTTGATGTGCTAACAGATTTTTATTAATGGAATTTTTAACTTAAATTTTTAGATGTAGTCATAATATTTTTGCTTTTTTAGATTGCTTAATTTTTGATTAAAGCTCCACTTTTTAAAATTTGAACTAAGATACAAGACAACTAAATTACATTGAAAACCACATTTTTTTTCCAAAACAGCAAAAAGTGAAATTGTTTTTGTATTTGTGAATATTGTTGGTAAAAGATGTTAGTTTTTCTACGTTTTTTAAAAAAATGATCCTGGGTTCAAAGTGTTTTTTTGAAATTATTTCTAGAGGAATTATTTTTTTTGTAGGTTCTTTGTTTGAGATAAAATATTTAGTAGATTTCGATCCTCAGTTACATGAAATAATAGCAGAAACTAAATATATGGAACAGTTAGGTTTTTCTGTACCAGAATTAGCCAGGAACGTAGCCCTTCAGGTGAGGCGACAATTTTCCTATTTATTTTCTTTTGTTAAACTAATCAGCATAACTTTCTGAATGGTCTGTTGAACTTCTTTCAGAAGCCAGGGTGGCTACGGGAGGTTATTTGATAATAACATCTAATCATATTGATGAAGCATTTACCTGGCGTGCTACATGCTACGTGCTATGGCTCGTTTATTTTAAAGAACCCCTTGTAGTTTGAAATTGAAATAGAGTGTTTAAAGTCACTGTTATTGATAAATTTCCATCATTGTACACTGCATTGTATTTCCTGTCTTCATTGGTCTCAAAAGCATCTTCTGCTGGCACCCTTAACAGAGTTATCTAACCTTAAGTTCTGATTTGATGTCTGATGTTCAAATTGAACAGTTCAATGATAGTTTTTTTTATAAGAAGTTTTTTATTAATTTAAAATTTATTTTGTTTATTTTGACAGGAAGAGAAATATATAAAGTATGTAGATGGATTACAGAATATGTTATCACGATATCATCGTTTATTAGGCTCGTTAGACCCAGCTGAGGTTACATTACTAGATGATCATATGAAAGATTTAAGACGTGTTCTACGACCTGGAGCTAAAAGATTAAACTGGAACTCACTGGGTATTAATGACTACATGTCTAAATGTCAATCAGTAAGTTGTCCAGTCTTTTTAAGTCCTTTTTTTTATTGTGAAGAATAGTTATGAAAATTGAATTAGTTAGTCACTTCCGAAAGATTTCTTTCTAACGGTTTCATAGACTTGCAGGATTGATTAGCACTGCAGCCAGTTGACTATTGAATTGGTCATATTAAAAATAAAATCGGCAAAGAATTCAGCTTTCCAGAGATGACTGTAGGAAGACTCTCTCGGTAGGCAGAATAAATTTATTATTTTTATGGAGTTTAAGGATTTTACTGAGTTACCCAACTGACTGTTAAATACTGAACTTATTATCAGATAGGCAAACCTAGCAGTTGCTTTGATGACCTAATAATTACTTCCCTTTGTTTGCAGGCCATTGCTAAATTTGAATCTCTAGTCAATCAGATACAGAAGAATGCTCGTGATATTAACCAACGTTTATCAATGATAGAACATTCTAATATGTTCAAACATTTACCACCCAAATATGATGATATTCTTCCTAGTTGTAAGGTAAGATACACCTCTTGGCAATGATCTTTCATAAACTACTTACTTACAATGTGGTGGACTGGAATAATTATTTAGTATTCATTTTAAACGAATCATTTAAAAGTTGATAACTTTGTATACATTGTATTTTAGAGAGGATACTATACTGGAAAACCTGTTCCTTAATCCTATAATGTAAATAAATATTGTTTATACAAATAAAATACAGGTCATTTTACTGGAATAATGATGGTTGATGTTATTAAAGTAAGTTTTAAAACTTTTTTTTTTTGCCTTTCAGGAATTTTTTGAACATATTGAATCAGAGCGTCACAGAGATTTTGAATTATTAGCGAGAAAATATCGTGCAATAGGTCCGTTGTTAACCAAGATGGAGGGTCTAGTCGTACATACTAATACTGGTAAATCACCCAAACTCTCACAATACTACGCCTACTGGGAAAAACGCGTCTACGAATCTCTCACCAAGGTAAGTGAAAAGTAAATGAAATAATAAAAATGATAACTCGTCTTGTATAGCACCAATACAGTAGCACTGTAATAGAATTCTATCACTTTGTAAAACATAGTTTTAAAGGATAGATTTTAAAGCTGAAGTTTGACAGTACCTGTTACCTGTTTTCTTTTGCTCTGATATGAAGTTCTTTTGGCTAGTAATGTAAAGTTTCATTGGAATCACTTCAAGGAATTTTGCTAAAAAAAATTTCTTTTAGATGTGGAGTTGATTGAATTAATGTAACATTATATTTTGTATTTGTAGTTGGTAATAAGAAATCTCAAGTCGTTTCACCATGCATTAATAGGAGATAAGGCATTATTTCAAGTAGAGACGTTACTCGTAGCCCCTGATGTCGTTCTTCACCCACATACCAACGAGATAAATAAACTTATACTACAGTGTGTGAGAGATGGTGTAGAGGGGTAGGTTATTGAAAATTTTATTAAACTTTATTACGAGAAGAGAACTGATTGTGAAAAGCTTTTACCCTGTCTATGTGTATAAATCTTATTCAATTCATGTGTCGTTCATATTGAATTCAGAATGAGGCTCATAATGAAAACAAATGTAACGTGGTGTCACTGCGGTAAAATCGCCACCTTGATGTCTTTAAAGCCTCCTTCAGATGATGTTTACCATCACATATTTCTGAGAAAGAGCAGTTTTAAGCCCATTTTCTTACTGTTGATCTGGTGTTCAGTGATGTCAAAAGGCTATTCATTCATATTACATTGCTATGACGTAATTTGCGTTACGAATCTCTCCAAAACAAGGCGTGAGTAAGGTCAATGAGGGACACTGATGGTATTGATTTGCACTATTCCACTTAAACTAAGTGTTACATGATATCATTATAAAGCTCTAAGATATTATCATGGTTTATACAATATACCTCAATCCATGTTTTTTTTTGTACTAAGTTTGTTATTTTGTATGTTTCAGTACCAAGTTATTTGTAAGATGGATGAACGGTACATGTATCGAATGTCCACCACAGAAAGTAGAAGGAGAAGATGAACCTCATGTTTTTAGTTTCTTCTCTGATATTTCTAATAATTCTGAGATTTTAGAAGTTTGTAGTTCTATACACCAGTCTGTGAGACGAACATTAACCAGTCTCGCTAGATATCTTATCAGGTGGAAAAAATATAAAAGTATCTGGAAGGTTGATAAGGTAAGAATAAAATAATAAATGTCAAGGGATGTCTTAGATTTTTAATTTTTTAAAAATGTCCTTTTTCAGGTGAAGAGTTCTGTAAAAGTGACATTGAATAAGTCATCTTTCCTGTAAAACTAGCTGTAATTTGTTTGGATAATTTGGGAAAGATAAGTACTAGCAAATAGACAGGATCCTCGTAAATCAAATATGCAATAATAACTTTACATTGAAAGTATTCACTTTTCTGTTGATATTTATTTTATGACCAGCAATTTAAATTGATTTCCTACATTCCAGCAACCAATCGCTGATAAATGGTTCTCTAAAGGTCCCTCAGTGGTAGAATTTGACGACAAACTTCAGTACTATTATAAAACAATAGATGAAGTAGCAGCACTACCTACTGTTAAAGAACAAGATTTTATCAAACTCCACATGGGTCCGTTAGCTACTGACGTCAAGAAACACGCTAAACAATGGATTGATTGTTTGGGTAATATTTTACACACGTCTGCTAAAGAATCACTGGATCAACTCTGGAACATGATGGATGTAAGTTTCGTTTTTATTCTGTTAGAATTGCAAAATATGTTATTTATTTCATTAAGCTTAGAACTTTCAGTTAATCTAAAAGCCAACTTAACAGAAGGGAACTTCTTAACAGAAATTATCATTTAGAGATTGCTAACTTAGTTTTTGACTTGAATTAGATCATTATGGTTTAAGACGAGTATTTAAACATCGTATCCATCTATTTCAGGACAAGTCTGATGATTTAGACCAATCACCTGGTGTTTTAGAAGATTTAAAATCAGTCTTATCCACGATATCAGATATTAAAACCATGTCACTAGAGGTAGAAACTCAGATGAGAGATATCCAGGAACGATATCGTACATTAGCTATGTATAATGTTGAGGTACGTCAAATTTCTTATAACTAGAGGATTATCCTTAGAAGCACTGGCACTGGCATTACAATTTATCTTGCCTGGAGAGGTATATCTACAGTATTTAGTGATCTGACAAACAATTTAGTTGATCCGAGAACGTAGGATTTGATTTGTCCTACTGCAGGTAGCAATTCAAAGATGTAGGATCTGTTTAAAACAATATTTGGCACTTCCTCTTCTAGCAACAATAAAAGTTTGTGCATCATGTGATACACATACCAATATGGCTGACTTATTTGCTGCTTTCTTCAATTGTTTAGATTTTGGTTTATGACCAGCATTGATTAAGCAGACTAATTTGGATTCATTCTGAGATTTTTAGGGATAACACCTTAATCAATATTTGATATATTAACAATTTAACTGCAGGTACCTGAAGCTGAACGAGATCTCCAAGCCCGTCTGCCAGAAATTTGGGCTGATTTAGTTTTAAAATCAAAGAATGTCGACGCTAGTCTGATAGTCGTGAAGAAAAAATTCACAGAAATTACACAAGATGAAATAAAAGAATTCCGAAAGAATTTAGAGAAATTTGCGGAGACGTTTAAAATTGAGGGTCCGGGAGCTGTTGGCAATGACCTAGATCTAGGTTAGTAATTGAACTTTTTGATTATGCAATATGACACTGTTAGCTATAATGAACCCTCAGTTCTCACAAATTTGTTTTGGTTAAGCTCCGTTAAAACAACTTTCTTCTATTTATAGGTCTGGAGAAAATGAAGAAATTTAGACAGGAGGTGGCTCAGTATGAAGGTCAACGTAATGAACTAGCGAACGCTGAAAAACTATTTGATCTACCGATCACTATGTACCCTGATTTAGTACAAGTTACTAAAGATATGAAAGGCTTGGAGATGATCTACGCCTTGTATGAAGAACAGTTGGTAAGATTTTGTTTTTGTTTCGGTCTTATAGTGAAGCAGTTCTATTTCCAATACTTAGTCATAATGTAAACTGTAAATTGGCACAATGAAATATTAGTTTAAAATTAAGCTTGTCTTTGACAAGAAAAAGAAAAAGAAAATAAATATTTTGATAGATTAAGCAGTTAGTGTATGTATACAGTGTGATTATAGAATATAGAATTATAGAATATATAGAAACAAACCTACGGAGTATAAAAGTTGATGGCAGTAAACCGACTAAGGATTTATACCAGCACATTTGAATTAGGAAATTACACAAAAATAAATCTTCTGATACATCCAAATATTTTATAAATTACAGGCAGCGAGAGAACAATGGGCTGAAACCCTGTGGGCCAATCTCAACGTCCAGATTCTACAAGATGGTATTGAAGGTTTCCTGAAAACTCTACGAAAATTTCCTAAAGATGTTCGTAGTTTACCTGTAGCTAGAACTCTAGAAGAGAAGATGAAAGAATTCAGAGATTCACTACCACTGTTTGTTGATTTGAAACACGAAGCTCTGAGAGAACGGTGAGTTTTTCCAAATTTTACCAACCTGAAAGATCTTTTGAGTGAAACCGTTTCGTTTCTAGAAAAATCTAATCTGGTTTGTTTCGTTTCATTTCAGTCACTGGAAGATCTAATCTGTTTTGTTTTGTTTCATTTCAGTCACTGGAAACATCTAATATGTTTCATTCTGTTTCGTTTCATTTCAGTCACTGGAAAGATCTGATGAGTAAAACTGTTCATTACCGTGTTTCTTTTTTTTTTTTCATTTCATTTCGTTTCGTTTTGTTTCATTTCAGTCACTGGAAAGATCTGATGAGTAAAACTGTTCATTACCGTGTTTCTTTTTTTTTTTTCATTTCATTTCGTTTCGTTTTGTTTCATTTCAGTCACTGGAAAGATCTGATGAGTAAAACTGTTCATTACCGTGTTTCTTTTTTTTTTTTCATTTCATTTCGTTTCGTTTTGTTTCATTTCAGTCACTGGAAAGATCTGATGAGTAAAACTGTTCATTACCGTGTTTCTTTTTTTTTTTTCATTTCATTTCGTTTCGTTTTGTTTCATTTCAGTCATTGGAAAGATCTGATGAGTAAAACTGGACAGAAGTTTGATATTAATCCTGAGACTTTTACCCTTGCTAATGTCTTTGCCATGGAGTTGCATCGATTCCAAGAAACTATTGGAGAAATTGTTACCTGTGCCAGCAAAGAGATGGGCATTGAGAAGGTAGGCTTAAAAACTATCTAGGGTGGGGGGTAATTTTAGAAGGGGCAGGCTGCAAAGAAATGGGCATTGAGAAAGTTAGTTAAATATTGTGTGGGGTAGGATATAATTTGGGGGGAGTGGGGACTGTAAGGAGATGGGCATTGAGAAGGTAAGCTAGAAATTGTGTGGGATGAGGAGAGACTGAGGGGAGGAAGGGGAGGGGTGGCTTTGAAATAGTGAAACTGTTTGTAGACCAATGATAATGAGACAATGATATAAAGCTTATTTATGTAATAAGACACTGTTCCAATGTGATATGTTTAACCATGTCCTGTACTTGTGTTCTTATTAATGCTATTTAATGTCTCATAGAACTTCTACCATGCTGCCATCCAAGTTTCAGACATCAGACCATCATCAGGACAGTTTGCTTGCGTTATATCACTTAATTTTCCAAAACAGAAATTTAGGTGTATGTCTAAAGTAAACTCATCATCCTGTTATTAAAGTAACAAATTTTATCAGTCACATTTTTTTAAAATTTTAATTTATTTTTCTCCAGGGTGTACGAGAGGTAGAAGAGACTTGGAGTAATATGAAATTTACTGTTCAGGCTTACATGAAGGGTACGAGTAACCGTGGTTACATACTGGGAGCAGTGGACGATATTCTACAAATACTTGACGATAGTGCCATGAATCTACAGAGCATGTCGGCATCACGATTTGTGGGCCCGTTTTTAAATTCTGTACAAAACTGGGAAAAGGGATTGTCTCTGATATCTGAAGTATTAGATGTAAGTAAATTTATTTTCGTTTGAGACATGTTTGATAGAATTATATTTTATGCCTTGTATGGTTTTATTGTAAGAGGGGCTGACATGGAAAAAGTATCTAGTCGTTTGGAGAGGACAATAAACCGAGGCCGTAAAACACCATTCATTTCATTGTATGGTTTTATTGGTTGACTCATTCATAGTACAATGGTTTACTTGGAATTTTGGGTTTGGCAACTTTATCCGAAAGGATGCATGAGTATTATAGAAAGTTGGTATCCAACAAATTCAAGGGTGATTTCTTGAGGTTAGATTAAACTTTACAAAAATAAAATTTTTTAGTTCCTCAATATCATGTATTTAGGTTTGATGGAGTAATTTGTTTAAGCCATACAAAAGGAGTCAATTTTAGGTCTTTATTGTTGATTCCTAGCGTATTTTACTGATTATTTCTGAGGTTAAGACTATCAATATATAAATGTTTCTAGGTATGGATGGTGGTACAGAGAAAATGGATGTATTTAGAAGGAATATTTATTGGAGGTGATATTCGCTCTCAACTTCCAGAGGAGGCCAAAAAATTCGACCAAATTGATAAAACATTTAAAAAGGTGAGCTGACACTCTGAAATGATTTTTGATAAAAAAAAAAAAAGAATTTTGCAGACCAATGTTCAGGTCATTATGAAATATTTATATTAAAGTTTTTAAAAGCAGTTTTTTGTTAAATGATTTGTTTTTACTCAAAATATTTTATTTTCAGATTATGAACGACACATTTAAGGTTCCGACTATCAAAACAGCTTGTCACGCTCAAAACAGACTTGCAGACTTACAGAATCTTAGTTCCGGTCTAGAGAAATGTCAGAAATCTTTGAATGATTATCTGGATTCCAAACGTAACGCCTTCCCACGATTCTTCTTCATCTCAGACGATGAGTTGCTAAGTATTCTGGGTAGTAGTGATCCTGAATGTGTTCAAGAACATATGATTAAGGTAGGTCAAAGGTCAAAGTGTAAAAATATTATGGGATGTGGATATTATAATTGTTGAAATAAAGGTAAAGATGAGACGTAGAGTAGTTATGATGAGAGGGAGAAGGGGTGAATTGAAATCATGTGGGTAGAAAATCATTCTGGAGGCATTTTTGATGAGGAATTATTCATTATGGTTAATTGATGCTATCAGTGTCCCTGATACATATAAAAAGTTTAGTAAACCTCTTTACAATCCCTTTAAATCCATTATTTCATTTCATTTTTTCTTTCATATTTTTAGATGTTTGACAATATCAGTTCTTTGAAATTCCAAAAAGGAGCGAATAATGAAATGGTGGTAACGGCCATGGTGTCTGCTGAAGGTGAAATGATGGATTATCGTACGACTGTGTCAGCCGAGGGCCGTGTGGAAGACTGGATGACCAGTGTTTTAGACGAAATGAGAAGAAGTAATCGTCTCATTACCAAGGAGGCCATCTTTACTTACTGTAACAACATTAAGAGGTTTGGACTAATTTTTGTTAGAAGAGAAAATATCATCTAAAACAATTGTTGTCAAGGCCTACTATATAGGAATTTAACCACATTTAGAAGGAGAGGACATCTTTACTTACTGTAACCACATTAAGAGGTTTGCACTTACAAGCAAATAAACTTAGAAAAGCAGGACGTAAAAGCAATTCATTTCACTCTATTCATTGTCATTTTACTTTGATTTATTTCATTTTGATTGGTTACATTTCTTTCCTTTATATTTTTTTCAATTTTATTTAAATGTATTCTAGAGTTGATTGGATGATGCAGTATCAGGGAATGGTTTGTTTAGCTGGTAATCAAGTATGGTGGACATGGGAAGTAGAAGATGTATTTAGAAAAGTTAAAAAGGGAAAGAAGACAGCTCTGAAAGATTACGCTAAACAACTTCATGGTCAAATTGATGATTTGGTAGTCAAGGTACGTCAAGGCTTTTACAATTTTCATTTTCTATGCATCATTTCATTGTTTTCGCAACATTTCATTGTTTTCGCATCATTTCATTGTTTCCGCATCATTTCATTGTTTCCGCATCATTTCATTGTTTTCGCATCATTTTTGACAATTTGATCGTCCAGATGAGAAAAGCAATTTTTGTTGTTAGTGCTTTCATTATTTTTCTCAATGTATTTGTATGACTGAATTGCTATCATTATAAGTTAGATTAAGGCCCAAGTTTTTTGTGTCTATTTCTATGTCTAGTGATAATCTCTTGCTGCTGACACATGTTTCAGATATACAATCCTCATCAGGATTGTCAGTGATGAAAATTGGGATGGGGATAAGCTGTCTTATACCAGACTTTCTCACAATGTTTATTATTTTCTAGGTACGATCTCCACTGACTAAGAATGACAGATTAAAGTTTAATTCTGTGTTAATTATTGATGTACATGCTAGAGATATTATAGATGGTTTTGTTAGAGACAGGTAAATAACACTGTTATATTCCATTTGATATTATTAAATTCTAGAACTATCAAATTTAGTTCATTTAGTTTGAAACTGTTCAATTCACCAGGATTCAATTGTATGCTCTCTATTGTTTTGACCCATACTGAATATTAATTGTTCAAGAATAAACTGTTAATTTGTTTACTTTGCAAAAACAATGGCTATTTCATTATAAGATATATTCAGTGCCTGTAATTTATGACAATGTTTAACTATTTTAGTATTATGGATGCGCGAGAGTTTGAGTGGGAGAGTCAGCTAAGATTTTACTGGGAGAAAGAACCTGATGAATTATTAATACGACAGTGTACAGGAGATTTTGGGTATGGGTATGAATATATGGGTCTGAACGGTCGACTGGTTATTACACCACTAACAGACAGAATATACCTTACACTTACTCAGGTAGGCGGAGTTTATAGGTTATGAATATTCATTATCTATTGGTTTGTATTTATAAATATAATGACCAACTGGTTATTAGTCCACTTACAGACAGAATATACCTTGCACTTGCTCAGATCGGTGCTGTCTATTATTGTCCATGAATATTCATAGGTTGTATTTTTAACAGTGGATGAATATTCATAGATTTGTTACAGCTCATGAATATTCATAGGTTGTATTTTATTTAAGCTCATGAATATTCATAGCTTGAATTTTGTTACAGCTCATGAATACTCATTTGCGGGGTTAATTATAGCTCATGAATATTCATTATCAAAATGCAATGGTTTGTATTTATGAGAAAATGGAAGTAGACTATGCACTGCTGCTACCCAGACAAAACTTAAACTTCCATGTAGTGTTCTCTAACAATGTAAGACCAATGGTTTGTTTCCACCGTAGGTGATAATGAAGAACTTGAATGTTTTGGCTTTCAGCTTCCCAACTTTTACAGAAAGTAAAACTCCATTTCATGATCTGTATTATTCATGTTGTGTCTCTATTATATTTCCAGGCATTATCAATGAATCTTGGAGGGGCACCTGCAGGTCCAGCTGGTACTGGTAAAACAGAAACAACTAAAGATTTAGCTAAAGCTCTGGGTTTATTGTGTGTTGTTACTAATTGTGGAGAGGGCATGGATTTTAAGGTGAGATAACTCTGCAAAATCAACCAACTGATTCCACTGATTAATGCTCAAATCTTCATTTCTGTATTTTATTATTTTAATGAATGTTCAAAGAGTTAAATCTAAAAAATTCAAGTTAAATAGAGAAAAGACAATTTAGGTAATAATCTGTCCAACATGTCTGCAAAATCAACCAAATCAACATCCCTTTAGGCAACATATTTTCAATTTGTATATAATGTTAATTTTGTTAACGAGTTGTATATTTTATTTGTAGGCTGTAGGAAAGATATTTTCTGGTCTATGTCAGTGTGGTGCGTGGGGTTGTTTTGATGAGTTTAATCGTATTGATGTCTCAGTATTATCTGTCATCTCAACTCAACTTAAAACTATACAGAATGGTTTACTACTTAAACTCAAACGCTTTCACGTACGTTTCTTTATTTTATATATTATAAATTATCACTTCTGTAATACAGTGGTCTTAAAATATCAAGTCTTTTAAAAGTTATCTCCCATGAGAGAGATTGGTTAGCCTCATAGAGTTATATATAGTTAAAGAGGCTATTAAAGATGGATTCCCTTATTTTAATTTATGAATATGAAAATGCTAATACTTATATGAATAGAAAGTAGAGGTGTTCAAATGACTTGGAAAAATGACAGTTTTTCTCACATCTCCATAATTATTTCATAATAAGCTAAATTAGAAGAGAATTACCAGCAGAAATCCAATGAGTGACCGATCAAGAAAGGTCAAAAAGTTTTTTTTTTGTTTATCCAGACTGTACATACATGGATATTTATGATTGGTTAAAACACTAAATTATATGCAATATAAGAACATAATGATATGATAAAGAATACATGATAATTCATTAGAAACACCAATTAATCAAATAGTTTGCTTAATTTGACTCTAAAAAAAGAAGGAAACCCTTCTGTAAGCAGTAATTGATATTGAGATTTATCAGATTGTAGGGGGAAATAATTTAGCTGGAAAGCACTGACTGAATAATATATCTAATAATTTGTATGTATCTGTTACAGTTTGAAGGTCAAGAAATCAACCTGGATTCCCGAGTTGGTATATTTATCACCATGAACCCTGGATACGCTGGTCGTACAGAATTACCCGAATCAGTGAAAGCCCTATTCCGTCCTGTGGTAGTCATAGTTCCTGATCTACAACAGATCTGTGAAATTATGTTGTTTTCTGAAGGTTTCTTACTGGCTAAGGTATTTATTCAACAGCAACAAGCTTCTGACATCTGCTTCAGGTACACAATCCTCATCAGGACAGCTCGTTTTAGAAATGGAGGTCATCTCATACTGCCAACATGATTGTGTTAGCTATACACAATCCTCATCAGGACAGCTAGGTTTAGAAATAGAGGTTAACTTTCCAATATACTTTATTATACAATAGAACTTAATGTTAGCTAATTGACAAGAGTTCATCTCATGCAGCTGACAAATGTTTCAGATACACAAACCTCAGGACAAACAATATGTTTAAAATTTCAAATATAAGACGTTAAATATATGATAATAATTGATTACAATTGTTCTCTATTTACTTTCAGGTATTAGCAAAGAAAATGACAGTATTATATAAACTAGCTAAAGAACAGTTATCTAAACAATATCATTATGATTTCGGTTTACGAGCATTGAAATCTGTATTGGTCATGGCTGGAGAGTTAAAGAGAGGTTCCCCAGATCTTTCAGAGGTAAGATATTATTTCAGATGACTTCAACAGTCATCAGAAGACCCTGTCTACCAGCTGGTTCTTGTTCAAACCCCTTATACAATGATTTAACAAGGATAACAACTTGGGTACTTGAGGACCCTGTCTACCAGCTGCTTCTTGGTAAACCCTTGGCAATGATTTTACTAGGATAACAACTTGGGTACTTGAGGACCCTGTCTACCAGCTGCTTCTTGGTAAACCCTTGGCAATGATTTTACTAGGATAAGAAGTCTTCTTGAGGAACCTTCTACCTTCTGGTCCTTGGTCAAACCTCTCGGTAATGATTTTAAAAGGATAACAAATAGGGTCTCAAGTTTCCTTTCTACCAGTATCTGGTCCTTGATCAAGACTTTTTGCAGTAGGGTTATAAGACAAGTCAGGGTCAGAAAAAGTAATATATAATGTATTTTACTTACAGGATGTGGTACTGATGAGAGCTTTACGAGATATGAACTTACCTAAATTTGTGTTTGAAGACGTTCCGTTATTCTTGGGTCTGATTGGAGATTTGTTCCCCGGACTAGACTGTCCACGTGTTCGTTATCCTAACTTCAACGATGCAGTGGAGGCCGTGATTCAAGAAAATAATTACATTGAACTACCTCAACAGGTAAGGGACTTTAGTTTGATTGGTTTTCGTGTTTTGACATTGATATCATATTGTCAGATCAGCAGAGTTACAGTATAGAATTATTCTTGAATTGTTAAAACTATGGCAATATGACCAAATTTTAAGACATGCAAAATATATTTAACAAATGTTGGCTGAAATTTTTTCTTTTGTCTATAAAACGATTGTGATAAGTTTTGTTGAAATTGTTTGATAATTATTCAAAATTTGGTTTAATTTTGATAAATTTTGTTGTGTTTGTAGGTTGATAAAGTAGTACAGATGTATGAAACTATGTTAACACGTCATACTACTATGATAGTTGGTCCCACTGGTGGTGGTAAATCAGTTGTTATAAATACACTCTCACAGGCTCAATCTCGGTACGTATTATATAATGACTAATATAATGTTAAAGCATGTATAATCCGCACCCCTTCTTACCCTCCAGTATATCTGAAAAAATCTGTCACCGTAATTAATGTGCAGCGAAAAAATCAACAAGTCTGGCAAGCCTATTTTAGCGTAAAAAATTGTACACTATTCATGCAAATATATATTAAATTTGTATCATTTATTAAATTTAAGGAACTCTTATGTTTTTGTATTTAATTTTGAAAAATCACGGTCATGTCATGCTCATTCGAGAACGTAATTTATTATCCTTGTTATATCAAAAAATTTGTTTCTTTCATTTTATAAGTAATATAATTCAGGGCAGGTTCCACAAAAATCGAACGATTGATTTCACCATAAGTATGTTATTTCCTGTTTTAAAATTCAGCACAAATTCTTTTGTAAAACTGGACCAAGGTTCTCTTGTCATGATAGTTATTGCCTAAAGTCTTTACCAATACCACGATTAAACTCCTTTGATGAAATCTCAATTATCTACATTGCTGTGTATATTTCAGATTAGGAATCCAAACCAAGTTGTTCACCATCAATCCTAAAGATCGTAGTGTAATTGAACTCTATGGTATCTTAGATCCAGCCACTCGAGATTGGACGGACGGATTGCTCTCAAATATTTTCCGTGAAATCAACAAACCCACAGATAAAAATGAGAAGAAATATATCGTATTTGACGGAGATGTTGATGCATTATGGGTAGAAAATATGAATTCTGTCATGGATGATAATCGTTTGATGACGCTCGCTAACGGTGAACGTATTCGACTACAGAAACATTGTGCCTTACTTTTTGAGGTATGCTGAGTTTATTTCACTCATATGGGGAGAGAGCAGACATTTTCCGAAACTTAGAAAACACAAGCCGTGGCATCACAAAATTTGCAATTCATAGGGGTTTAAATGGGTCTTGTCAAAGGTTCTATCAACCCTTTTATTTAACTTCAACTTAAAATTAAATTGTAATAATTGGGTTTAAGTGCAAAAACAAGTTAAGGCAGACATGCGCAACATCAAACTTAAAAATTAACTGTGGCTTTTGCTACATAAACAATCGTTCTATTTTGGGATGGATAAGTCTGGTGATGTAATAGGCACTTTCATTCTTCTCAAGAAATATGTGGACTCTTTGAAAGTTGTTGAGTTGACAAAGCTTAACGCCAAACATTTTAAGCTATGTGAACTCCCTGAATGAGATTGACAATCTTAGACTGACAACCTTGTAAATTCATCCTAGTTATATTTTGCTATTAATTAAATCTTGTTCCCTAGGTATATGATCTACAATATGCATCACCAGCTACGATTTCACGCTGCGGTATGGTTTACGTCGACCCTAAAAATCTGGGCTACAAGCCATACTGGGATAAATGGGTGAATGTTCGTAACTGTGGTAAATCTGAGAAAGATGATCTGAACCGTCTTTATGAGAAATACGTACCCAATCTGATTGATATGGTAGTAGAGGGAGTGGTCGAAGGACGGCAACAAGAGAAGATCAAGACTATCGTACCACTGACTAATCTTAATATGGTAAGTTAGATTTCAGAGAATTTTTAGGATATTTCAAATCTTACTCTGTTGACTCTGTTTTTCATTTCGTTCAGGAAAATGTTTTTCAGGCTATATATGCCTTGATTTTAGCAGCAGGATCTTTCTTGAAGATTCTGGTTTTTGCTTTGTTTTGGAATGTTGGGGAATTTTCACCAGAATTCCGACATCTGATATTCTATATCATATATAATACTAAACTTAAAATCTCCAAATGAAATTCATGTCACCTTTTATCAAGCAATAAGGCTGAATATGACATTTCACCATGTTTCTCGAGATATCAGTTTGGCTTAATTTGGCATCAGAACATATTCGACTTTTGTATCCATATTAGAATAATGTTTTAATATTTTAGGTAACTCAACTAAGTATGATGCTAAACGCCCTGCTGACTAAAGAAATCCCAGAATTTGAAGAGCTAGAAGCCTTGTTTCTCCAGGCTCTTTATTGGTCTATTGGTGCTGGTCTACTAGAGGCTGGACGTACCAAGTTTGATGCTTACGTGAAATACCTGGCTTCGTTAACAATGATTACTGATGATGACCAACAGGCTGGACCAGGTATGTACATTTCAGTTTTCAGTTTCAAAATTTTTTTTCAAAAAGGGTTTTACTTTTGACCGAGGTAGGTTGGAAAGTCTGACATAGAGTTGGTAAATGAAATTGAAATGAATGGAGTTTTACTTCTGCATCTAATTGGACTAATGAAGACAAGCAACACCATGCAGTGTGCAATGAGGGAAATTTTTCCTTGAAGACGGCCTTATCCTTCTCTTCTTTGCTTTTCAACTGTCGAGGTATCTTTAATGTGAACAGCCAGTAGACTCTTGGAAGCACAGGCATCAAAATTTTTCTTACCATGAGGACTTGAACCTACGGCACCTAATCGCCTAGCAGACGACAATCCAACTCGTTACCGATTGAGCTATTCCACTGTCACTGGATATTATTGGCACTTCAGACTCAAGAAATATTTTAATTTTTAATTCACAGGAGAACTACCTCAATCTTCATTACTGTATGAATACTACTGGGATGGTGAACAGAAGAAATGGATTCCGTGGGCTAAACTTGTCCCCAAATACATCCATAATCCAGAAGTGAAATTTAACGAAATCTTGGTACCTACTATTGATACAGTTCGTACAACATGGCTGATTAAATTAATGGTGGAGATCAAACGTCCAGTGGTATTAATTGGTGAGACTGGTACATCCAAGTCTGCTACCACGGCTAACTTCCTTCGTGGTATGGACCAAGATGCTCATGTAAGTAGAAAATACTTTTCAAATTTTGTTATTGGTTAGGGTAAAATTTTGACCATGTGATGAAAACTTCTTGATATTTTGCCAACTTAAACTATATCACATAAGGAGAAAGCTTGAAATTTGCTGACTTAAAATGTTTTAGACTAGAAACATACAGTATTATTTTTATCTTGAAGTTAAGTATGGAAAGTCGAAAGAAAAATGTCTGTATCATATGGGCACTAATTGGTAATTATGCAAGATGGAATTGGATGAAAAACACCCTTATTTTTATGACTCGAGTTATTTTTTTTAACATATTTCATTTTTTTCACAACGTCTAATATTCAAAATTTTCCCACCTTTCAGTTGTTATTGAATATGAATTTCTCAAGTCGTACTACCTCACTAGATGTTCAACGTAATTTAGAAGCTAACGTTGAGAAACGAACTAAGGATACATACGGACCTCCAATGGGAAAGAGATTGATTATATTTGTTGATGATATGAACATGCCACAGGTAAGGTTCATTGCGTGTTTTTGTGGTGATTCGGGGGTGTCTTTAGGCACTTGTGTCTTAGGTTTCGTCTTCTTAGGAATCAGGGGTAGCTCAGTGATTGAGGCACTTACTCGCTATAGTCTGAATCATCCAATTGGTCTGTTATGGACGAGTTAGGACCTTATAGCTTAAAAGAGATGTTATGGCTTTATAATTCTGCTAACTTGCTAGTTCGGAGGTTTAGGGTTTCATCCCAAATGGCTTTGATAGAGGAAGGTTGATCTCTTACCACTGTTACCAGATAAGGTACTGAATAATAAGAAGTAAAAGTTACGTATTATTTTGTAGGTTGATACGTACGGAACCCAGCAACCTATAGCTCTATTAAAACTCCTGTTGGAACGTGGAGGTATTTATGATAGAGGTAAAGATTTGAACTGGAAGAATTTGAAAGATATTGGATACATCGCTGCTATGGGTAAAGCTGGTGGAGGTCGAAATGAAACGGATCCTCGATTCGTGTCGTTATTCAGTGTATTCAACATGACGTTCCCGAGTGAAGAATCCCTGTATAGTATCTACTATTCTATATTAAAGGGCCACACCCAGGCCTTCCCTCAAGAAATACAAGATATAGTTTCATCCATTACTAAAATGACTATGACTTTATATGGGTAAGGAAATTAAAATGTTGTTTTATTATGTATATAGGGGATTGTTAAACAGTTTCTGAAGTTCTATTGTGTATAGTTAGAAAGTTTCTATGAAACCTCAAATTAAGCTGAAGATTGCTAGCATCACAAGTTATGAATGACTTGAACACTATTTTAACAGAACTTAAAACCTAATTTTTTTTCCTCTTTTCTGTATTAAGTTGATACAATTTCATTAAGAATTTCTCACCTGACAATTTGATTGACAGCTAGTTACGCTTCCTTCACCCACTTCTTAACCACACTTTTAACTTACTATGATTGAAATATTACAAAAAATCTCTTATTATATATTTCAGAATGATCGTTAAAGAGTTACCTCCCACCCCGTCTAAATTTCACTACATCTTCAACCTTCGTGACTTGTCCCGAATTTACAACGGATTGTGTCTTACCACTCCTGATAGGTTCCAGAAACCAGAGCAGTTCCTGCGAGTATGGCGTAATGAGTGTCTCCGTGTCATCGGTGATCGTCTGATCAACGAACAAGACAAGGAAATAGTCAATGTGAGTAGCTATTAAAGTTATTATTGATACAAGGATCTTGGACAATAAACCGAGGTTCAGTGTGCTACAGACTGTGTATGTTAAACAGTTGGAAATCTAAAAAAAAAAGGATAATGCTGCTGTCCTGGCAGAATTTCCCTCATTGCACACTACATGGCATTGCCCATCTTCATAGTTCAATTAGGTTCAGAAGAGTAGGATGTAGAATTTCATTTCAAAACCCAGAAGCTGTGATTACCTAGGAACCCTTGGTTTGACTACAATACTTCAATGATAAACCTGTTCATAGGTTCTTCAGGCTTTCCAACTCTTTTCTGAAGGGAGACAACTCTTATTAAATGCTGTATTTATCAGACCACAATATAAAAATAGATACCTATGTATTTCAGAAAGCTATGAAGGGCCTCTTAGAAGAAAATTTCAACTCGAGTACAGAGTTTGTGTTACGTGATCCGTGTCTGTTTGGTGATTATCGTACAGCCTTAGAGGAAAGTGAACCACGGTTATATGAAGATGTGCAAGATTATGATGCTAGTAAAGCATTGTTTCAAGAGGTGGGTACTTTACTAATTTTTAGAATTTGTCATTTGGCAACCAACTACATAGAAGAGTAGGACGTAAAACTCCATTCAATTCATTTCATTTCATTTCCAACCAACTACATAGCCTGAGATATTAGCTTTGCTGAAAGCGAACGTTAACTTGTAAGATAACTACCAACCAACCAATTTTAGATATTCTCCATTGGAGCATTTTTTAACGAAGTCTAAAAACACAGTTAAAACTGAACGATATTAAGAAAATATTTAGAAAACCAAGCCATTTGCAAATTGTTATGAGCAGATGAAATCCATGAATAAAATGGATTGCTCCCTCTATTGACATTAATGTAGAACTGGAAATAAAGAATGGTAAGCTTTACAAAAGAATGCAGGAAGAATGAAAAGAATTTGGGGAAGACATAAGCATCGCATTTCTCTATTTCAGATTCTAGAAGAATATAATGAAAGTCATACACCAATGAATCTAGTTTTGTTTGACGATGCCCTGGAACATTTAACTCGAATCCATCGTGTTTTACGTATGGATCGTGGCCACTCTCTATTGGTTGGTGTAGGAGGAAGTGGTAAACAATCTCTATGTCGATTGGCTAGTTTTACTGCTGGATGTGAAGTGTTTGAGATCACGTTAAGTCGAGGTTACAGCGAGTCGTCGTTCAGAGATGATCTCAAAGTTTTATACAACATGCTGGGAACAGAAAATAAAAAAGTTTCATTTTTATTCACGGATCAGCATGTTGTTGAAGAAGGTAGGAATACAAATAATTTTTTTTTTAATTTTTTACAATTGAATGAAAAAAAGCTTATGAAAATATCTAAGGAACTTAAAATATAAATGAAATTCAAAAAATTTCGTAAAAGACAAGTAAAAATTTCAAAAGATTGTCATACATGCAAGTGTCTAAAAATCCTAATGGTGCAGTCTGGGTTATCATCTGAAAGAGCAAACAAGATATACCACAGTCAGCCATGAGTATTTTACTCCAATTTATCATTGGTTTCAATAATTTCAAATTTGATTCTGTGAATTTGCAGGATTCCTGGAATTGATTAACAACATGTTAACATCTGGAATGGTACCAGCTTTGTATGCTGATGATGAAAAAGAGGGAATTATTAGTGGAGTAAGTCCATTTCTTATCAGAATTATCAATTTGCTGATTATTGAGACGGGGGCTCTGATGGCACAAGTTCTTTCATTAACCAAAATCATTCTGATGGGACAATAGACTGAGGTCCTATGTTCTTGAGACTGTGTCCTGTACCCTTGTACAGTTTCAAATAGAAATATAGTAGGCTTATACGACTGTCCTAGCAAAACATTCCTCAATGGAAACAGTTTGTGCATTCAGGTTTAGAAAAATAAGATATAGAATATTTTATTTGACCCTATTCATATTCTTTAAGTAATAAATTATTGTTAATAAAAAATACGTTGATATCCTTTGTGTATTGTAGATACGAGATGAAGCTATCAAGAATGGAGCCGCCCACGCTAGAGAAAGTATCTGGCAATATTTCGTTAATAAATGTGCCAATAACCTACATGTTGTCATGGCGATGTCACCTGTAGGCGATACACTACGAACTAGATGTCGTAACTTTCCTGGTAAGATTAGAAGATAATTTTGGGATAGAAAGATAATGTTGAAGTTTTTTCATTCAGTGAGAAGAATAATAATTATATTTTTCTTGTCTTTTACTCATTCTAGGCAAGAGAAAATATTGAAAGTTGGAAACAATTTGAGAAATCAAATTATGAATGCTATAATTGAAAGAGCCTAAAGAAGATAGCTTTTTTATGAGATAAATATGTATATTGTTTTATCACCAATGTGTATATATTTGTAGGTATGGTGAACAATGCTAGTATTGACTGGTTTTTCCCGTGGCCAGAACAGGCTCTGTATGCTGTAGCTAGTGTCTTTATATCACCTGAGGTATCATCTAATCTATCAATTCTTCAACCCTGTGTAGATGCCATTTTCGAATGCATCATATATTTTTTTTGCCTTGAGATGATTCAAATGTATCTTTGATACTTGGTTATTAGTATAATTACTTAGATTTCTTTTTATCATATTGTAGCCTTTTTAATGTATCTGTTCATGTATTTTTCACGCGTGTTTTTTTATTTCAGAATAATCTGATACCTGACGAACATCGTGAAAATCTGGTCACTCATATCGTCCTGGTTCATACCAGCGTCGGCCATTACAGTAAAATGTTTCTGCAGCGATTGAGACGTAACAACTACGTCACACCCAAAAACTACTTGGATTTCATTAATACTTATCTCAAATTACTGGAAGAGAAAGATCAATATATTCTTTCACAGGTTTGTAGACTTGATTTTCCAGATCTATTAGAAGATTTGATTGTACTTTATTCCCATGATGCACCTTTCTGATCTTTAGTGAATTTTCCGATTCTGTGAATTTAAAACAGTAGGCCTTAGACACACTATACAGAAAAACTATTCAAAATAGAACTGCAAATGCTTTGAAAACACGATGGTACAATCAAGGAAATGGGATGAAATGTAATTCAAAGCCTACTTGTGCATTATACTTGCCATTTAATAGTGTATTTAATATTATCATTTATTTTCAGTGTGAACGTTTAGCAGGTGGTTTATCAAAGATTGCAGATGCCTCCGACATGTTGGCGGTTCTCAGTGATAAACTTGCTGTCCAGGAGGTAGCGGTACGGGAGAAAACAGCAGCCTGTCAGGAACTCTTGGAAGAAATTGCTATCGGTACCAAACAAGCCACGGAGAAGAAAGAAATGGCCCAGAAAAAAGGGAAAGAAATTGAGGAACAGAATAAGATTATTGTTGTAGAAAAGGTAGACATAGTTTGTTTTTGTTTCCAAATGGAGAATTTTTAGAGAATTTTTGTAATCTATAAATTTAGAAACTTTGAGCAGCATTGAATAATTTGGATTTTTGTTTGCATTAAAAATGTAAGCAAGAAATTAAACATTAGTAGGTGTTAAGTTAAACAGAAGCATATACAGTATATTTGTGAATATAATGCGCACCAGTTTCTCCCTTCTCAGAAAGTAATTGTTATAGCCTCTATTGATTGACAATCTGATCTGTAGATTATTATGAAACTGGTCAGAGGCACTATGTGCACATAAACACACACAGATCAAGGCATTCCCAACCAATTACAAGTCCTTTAACTCTTGTTATGTTTTGAAATCCAAGGCATAATCTCTACGTATGTTACATATCTTTGTGATTACAGAAAGAGGCAGAAGATGCTCTAGCTGAGGCATTGCCAGCTTTAGAAATGGCCAGAATAGCTCTAGAAGATTTAGAGAAATCAGACGTCACTGAAATCAGGTTGGTTTAAAATTTTCTGTCTTTTCTGACTTAAAGTTTGGAGAGTATTTAAAAAGAAAAATTATTGTGATCAAAAAAGAGTGGCTCAGCTTCAGGTATTCCATTGATGAGAAGTTGAAGACCATTCTTCTTACAATGTTATCTTTAATAGTCTTATTATATAATGGAACACAATATCATTTTATACTACTCCTGGGTTTTATTGTAACTTATTTTATTGACAACTTTTCAAAATTTTTTGTAAGTAAAACTTGTGTTCTGCTATTTCATTGATCTCTAGACCAAAATGTCCCCTAGAACCATTGAAGAATTTATTGATATACCTATGTTTTTCTTGTCAGGTCGTTTGCGAAGCCGCCTAAAGCGGTACAGACAGTCTGTGAGTGTATCGTTGTTATGAGAGGTATTCGAGAAGTCTCGTGGAAATCAGCCAAGGGTATGATGTCGGAGGCGAACTTTTTAAAATCGCTGACTGAAATGGACGTAGATGGAATTACACCTAAACAAACTGCTGCTGTTAAAGGTAAAATATAAAAATTAATCAATATGCAAAAGAGAAATCTAAACCCTTCGTCTGTATTGTGGTTTCGCTTGGGCACAGGGACATTACAGAATATTCGGACAGGTTTTGATAGATTCATTAATAGTTCAGCCTGATTTAAAAAGATACCAACAGTTGTGCCAAATTTTGTGCTTAACTCACTTAAAAAATGACATTTATGTCTTGTCATAACCATATCGAAATCACATCCATAAACCAATTAGTTACAATCAGAACCGCAAGACGAAACCCAAAATCCCAACAGCATATTGGCAAAACATTGGTAGCAGCTAATCTATTCACATGAGGAAGTATATCAATCAATAATGAAGTAAAGATTTCATAATGAAAACTGGTATTAGGTGTCCAGAAGAGTAAGTAAGAATACCCTGCCTGGCAACACATGCATCATCTTTGCTCTGGTCTGAGGAACTAGTTGGGCTAATATTGATAATGTCTGTTTGTAGGTTTATTAAAAGAAATGGACACTACCCCAGCTGATATGAAGGCTGTCAGTCGAGCTGGTGCAGGTCTGTTGAAGTTTGTGGAGGCTGTTATGGGATACTGTTCAGTGGCCAGAGAAATCAAGCCTAAGAGAGAAAAGGTCAGTAGAAGGAATTCTCAAAATTTTGATATAATCTGTTGATTTTTCAACCTGGTTTCACCTTGTAAGTGCAGGTCGAGGAGTTGACATTGGAATGCACAGTTGCTTGAATGTCACCTTTGGATTTTAACCTGGTTTCACTGTGTCAGTAATGCAGGTCAAAGAATTATAACTTCATTAGACTTTTAATCTTTATTCTCTAAGATATTCTAAGTTTAGTTTTAAAGAAACATTGAATAAAACTTTAACCAGTGATTATTGTTCTATAAAGCTGTGTCTATATATTGTACTCACAATTGTCTGTATATCATAATTCAGGTGGCTAAACTAGAAAGATCCTACCATCAAGCTAAACGAGACTTGGATAAAATCACCAAAGAAATCAGTGCCCTGGAATCAGAGCTGTCCAAACTGAACCAGAAATACGAGGAGGCCATGTCTGAGAAGAAAGCTCTACAAGAAGAGGCGGAGATTATGGAACGTCGATTACGAGCTGCCGATAAACTCATTTCTGGTCTGGGGTCTGAAAATGTCAGGTGGGTTAAAAGTTTATAAACCATTTTTTTTCACGAGTTTTTCTATGCTATTCTGAATTAGGTCATCTATTTGACATCGATTTTAGTCATTGACCAATCAGATAAAGTGAATATTAACACTTTGAACACTGAGTGTAAATAAAATAAAATATCATATACACTGAACCTCAAGTAATATAACTTACAGCGTATGATGTTGTGGGTCATTTGGTAATGAGATATGTATAACCTAATTTGGTTAAGATCAACATAAGTTTTTGTGAATAAGACTAAAGATTATTTTTGCTGTAACAGTTTCATTTTCACAATCTGATAACTTACAATAATAATCTTTCCCTTACAGATGGACACAAGATTTAGAGGAATTGAAAAATAAACGAGTGCGTCTGTTGGGAGATTGTCTGTTAAATTCTGCTTTCCTTAGTTACGTGGGTGCATTCAGTTGGGAATTCCGTAACGACCTAGTTTATCAAGAATGGAAGAATGATTTAAAAGAGCGGGAAATTCCACTCAGCGATCCGTTTAAGTTGGAAGATTTGTTGACCAATGATGTAGAGATCAGTAAATGGACGTCTGAAGGTTTGCCACCAGATGATTTGTCCATCCAGAACGGTATTTTAACAACTCGTGCCAGTCGCTTCCCAATGTGTATCGACCCCCAGCAACAGGCTTTAAAATGGATTAAAAAGAAAGAAGAAGCTAATAATTTGAAAGTGAGTGCTTTATTTCTTTTTGTTTGAGCCAGCTTTCGCTGTAGACATGTGGGATTTTGTTTTGCTTCAAACATCACCTTTCATATTACATTGTTTAAATCTGGCAACTCTGTGATCTGTGATTGGACCCAATGTTGATGAAGGACATCATTTGATATTTAAGGTTTCGATGTGCGATATTGGCCCTCGACTCAAAAACAAAAAGTACTAATATTGATTGATTGATGTTATTAAAGTGATATTATTAACCAATCAAATTTCTATTCTGTCAGAAACATGATAGCTAGCCTACTCTGATTGGTTAAAATTATTATCTCTATAACAATCAGATTTATAGAATGAACAAAATACCATAAGTTTAAATTTAATATTGGTGACAAAATGATATCTTGTTATTGTAGGTGTGTACATTTAATGATCCTGATTTCCTAAAACAACTAGAATTGGCTATAAAATATGGATTTCCCTTCCTATTTCAAGATGTAGATGAATATATAGACCCTGTTATTGATAACGTACTGGAGAGAAATATTAAAGGTAGGGTCTAGATTTGATTCAAAAGAGGTTTTCTAATCTTTGTATATCAGGTACACCTCCATTTACACTATTCTAATTTTGTACGTGTATCAGTCCTGGCTTCTTTTTAACCTTTAATTGATATTGGTCTGTTGTATTAAGAGATTCAAAACATGCTTTTTTAGCCTGTGTTTTATCTTACGCCATTCTGATTTCCTTTCAATGTTAGCCCAAGATATCATCATACTTGCCATGTCTGGTTCTAGTAATTTCATTAAGCTTCATTTCTTTATCCTTTTGATATGATTAATTATATATTCTGAATGTGTATTGCAGGAGGTCAAGGTCGTGAGTTTGTTATGTTAGGTGATAAAGAAGTAGATTATGATCCTAATTTCCGTCTGTATCTCAACACCAAACTAGCCAACCCTAAATACGGTCCGAACGTCTTCGGTAAATCTATGGTCATCAACTATACTGTTACACTTAAGGTAAAGATAACGATGATTTGATAAATAGTTTACACTCAAATGAAATGAAATACAAAATTATGTTCACATTTTCTGCAGATGTTCAGGCTAATGAAGATTGGCAGCACCATGCAGTGTGCAATGAGGGAAATTTGGCCATGATAGCAGTATAAGTCTATGTTTCTTGATTTCCAACTCTCAGCACACAGGACCTCTTTTTAATGTCACATCCGAACGACTAGGCGTTTGTTCCATGCCTACCCCTCTTACCTGTATCATTGACGGAAGGAAACTGGGTTTGAAAGGTAAGACTCAAAGCAGATGTGGATTTTTCACTTAATTACGTAAATAATTTAGTTTATTTTCTAATCCTAGGGTCTAGAAGATCAGTTATTGAGTGTGATTGTTAAATATGAACGTAAAGAGTTAGAGGAACAGAGAGAAAGATTAATCCAAGAAACAAGCGTTAATAAACGATTGTTGAAAGATCTAGAAGATTCATTGTTACGAGAATTGGCCACGTCTCAGGGAAATATGTTAGATAATGTAGAGTTGGTGGAAACTTTAGAAGAAACTAAAACTAAGGCTTCAGAGGTGAGATATTTTACTGGTTTATAGTTTATATAAGACTTGAGGGAGTTATGCTATAGTCTCATAATGGGGAGTAGGAAGTTACCTCGTAAGATTAGGAATCAGTGACAAAGCTAAGATAAAAACTGATTTCAATTAATGTGATTAGAAGAAATTGTCAAGACAGTCTTGCTAGCGACATCTGTCTCAGAATCAGTCTTCAGTATAATAGAACCAAAAATCTGCCACAGAGTTCAATAGACCGAAAGATCAATAAACATTATTTTTTTTCCCCAGGTGTCAATTAAATTGAAACAAGGAGCCGAAACGGCCATCGATATCGAGAAACTTCGTGATGGATATCGACCTGCAGCTAAGCGTGGAGCCATCTTGTTTTTCGTCTTGGCGGAAATGTCGCTTGTCAACACAATGTACCAGTATTCCTTGGCATCGTATCTCGATGTTTTTGAGTTTTCATTAAAGAAGAGTTTACCGGACTCAATTCTCCACAAACGTCTACGTAACATCATGGAGACATTAACTCATAATGTTTATAATTACGGTTGTACTGGTAAGTAGGTTTACATTTCACGAGGGTTTATAAAATTTCAAATTTAAGTTCGCAATGGAACCTAGGGATGTGACTGGCTCACCAAATTACATGATATTGGTATATCTGATGAACATTATAGAGTTTAGATTTCATACAATTTATCAAAAGTTCAGATTTGAAATTTGCAAGGACAGGAAGATGCTATGAGGAATGGCATCTCAGCAGTTTTTACCATCAATCAAATGGTTTTGGGCTTTGCTCCCAAAGAATTAAGTTAATCCTCCAAAAATTGGTATAAGCACCAAGTGAAATATTAACTATTTGGAAAGGGATGCCAATTTTACATGCCTACATCACTAAATATGGTTTGTGATCCACTTTCTTTGGATTTGAACTAACTGTGTTATGAATCCAGATTTGAAACGTTTAATCTGTTTTATTTACAGGTATATTTGAGAAACATAAATTACTTTTCTCACTGCAAATTACCATCAAACTAGAACAAGATCAGAGCCATCTTGGTCAGGAGGAGTTAGATTTCTTTATCAAGGTGAGTTTCTTTCTAGGATTGTAAGTTTATTTTTTAATGTTCTTGTGATCGAGGCTTTGGTGTATTGTATCTGCTATTTAGTTTATAATTCAATTTCAAAAAGGCTGGAATCCAATGTACGCAATATAAACTTACATAAAATAGGGTTTTTCAGACAAATATGATTTGATCCTCCTGATGAATTTTAAATTTTTAAGGGGTCGTTTTGATTCACATCATTGAATGTGATACCTGAAGCCGAGCAATATCCTATTGCTTAATACCATTTGAGGAAATTAAAAAAACTTTTATACGAGTAACAAAAAATAACATGGTACATGAACCAACTATGTATATTTCAAGTTTAAATCAAAAGTTGATCTCTATCATTGTAAATTTCAGGGTAATATTGCACTAGAAAAAAGCAAGCGTAAGAAACCGTTTGGTTGGCTGCCGGATGAGGGGTGGGAGGACTGCACTCGCTTGGCCACAGAATTCTCAGATAAATTTGGAACATTACTTGACGACATTGAGAAGAATGAAAACGCCTGGAAAGAGGTATGTTTTGATTTTATTTTATTATTACACCAATTTTTGTCTGGAAATTGTTTTATACAGATATATTTTGGTCTAGATATTTTGTAGTTGTTTTGAATTGGTAGATTTTTAAGATACAGAACAGTAGGACATTAAATTTTTTATAAGCTCAATGAAGTGTAGAATATTTGAGTATATATGAGAGTTCTAAGACTAACTTTAAAAAGACTCATACCAGCTCTTCCAGTTTTCACACTTTTGCCAGTGTTGCTGCAAAGTCTGGATGTAGCTAACTTTTCCTTTAATTTTGAATTGTTATTTTCCAGTGGTACGATCATGATACACCAGAATCTCAACCGTTTCCGGGTAGATATGAACAATCTCTAGCAGCGTTTCAACGATTAATGTTGTTACGATGTTTCCGTGTTGATCGTATTTACCGAGCGGTTACCGAGTATATCACCAGCGTGATGGGAGAGAAGTATGTAACGCCACCTATTATTAGTTTTGAGGCGATATTTGAACAGAGTACACCGATGTCTCCGATAGTGTTTATTTTGAGTCCTGGGTCGGATCCTGCTAGTGATCTGATGAAACTGGCAGAAAGACTGGAGTTCGGAACCAATAAGTTGAAATATTTATCCATGGGGCAAGGACAAGAGCAGGTAATTAAAGATTCATATTTCTAAGGGTTTCATTTTAGATTATTTTGAGAATTGCTAGATATAGGAGTAATGGAATTTCAACCCCCTTGTCTGACAGTTGTTATCCAATTACTGTACAGTATTGCCTAATATTTGATGGTAGTTAAGATTTTGAGAATTGCTAGATATAGGAGTAATATTTTTAACATGGTATTTCAACCCCCTTGTCTGACAGTTGATGGGCCAAATTAGATTTCAGGGAATACTTATTTCAGGACTGGTGCCATGGCTATATACAGTATAATATATAACAATTATAACATACAGTGTATGTTTGTATGTGTCTTTTCAACTAAAATCATACTTATGACTAACTAATTTTCACACAATTCTCTGTGACCTAGGCCAGTGCTTTCATTGAGACTCGTCTCAATACACCTTAACACAAAAATTCAATCATTAAATTTAACAATGAATTAAGTTTAGTTATCCAATTACTGTACAGTATTGCCTAATATTTGATGGTAGTTAAGATTTTGAGATTTAAATCCCTGAGAGAAGATTTTATATTACTTTGTGTTCTGACGGATCAAATCATTCATTCGAGATTTGACTAAGTCCTGTCACTTCCTCGCTGGTCCTGATGAGGATTGTATATCTAAAACATGTGTCAGTATATATGAGCTCTTGTTATTTCTATTTCATCTTATATTACAGGTTGCCCTTCAACTTTTAGAAACAGCCATAGCTAGAGGACAGTGGTTGATGTTACAAAACTGTCATTTATTAGTCAACTGGTTGCTAGAGTTAGAAAAACATCTTGAAAAACTCAACAAACCACATCCTGACTTCCGACTGTGGTTGACGACAGATCCCACACCAAGATTCCCTATCGGTATACTTCAGCGTTCTCTAAAAGTCGTTACTGAACCTCCCAACGGCTTGAAACTCAATCTACGAAGCACGTATCACAAGATTCCCGCAACAGCGCTATCAGAATGTCCACATCCAGCCTTCAGCTCATTAATATTCGTACTAGCGTTCTTCCACGCTGTGGTACAGGAACGAAGAAAGTATGGTAAAATAGGCTGGAATGTATCGTATGATTTTAACGAGTCTGATTTCCGTGTGTGTATGCAGATATTAAATACCTACCTGACCAAGTCTACTGATCAGGGTGATAGTAAAATACCCTGGGCCAGTTTAAAATATCTAATTGGAGAGGTGAGTGAGATATAGTTATACATTGTATTACAATTAGTCAAGTGACCATCACTACATGTAGGCCTAACAATGCTAACATGATAAACAGAAGTAGGCCTAGATTTGATAACATTTGAATACATGTACTTACAATCATACTTATTTTGAGTTTACCATTAATTACTAATCATATGCCCTTTATTAATTACATTTTTAAATGCTAGCAATTTCTCTAGCCAATCAATATTAAAATACTTCAACAAAGGAAAATTAGACATATTTGCTTAATTTTTGGGATAAAACAACAATACCCATCCCAAAAAGATATCTAAATTTCAATACAACTTGAATGGAAATTTTTTGTACACTAAAAATATAATATTTTTCTGTGTCCAGGTCATGTATGGTGGACGAGCTATTGATGATTTTGACAGACGTGTTTTAAGGACGTACATGGATGAGTATATGGGAGATTTTATATTTGATACGTTTCAACCTTTCCATTTCTACCATAATGAAGAGGTTGATTATAAAATACCAGAGCCTGGACCTCGTGATAATTATATTGGTAGGTCTGAGTTTTATACGCCAACATTTTATTTAGAACAAGACATGGGATATTTCATTTTGCATAAATATATAATAGCAAAAATTTTAGTTTAGATTCTTTCTTTGGCTTGGTCCAAATGTGTCAAATGTGGTTTTGTTCTGATCTGATTTGGATGATACTTTGATCATGTAAATAGCTTATGTCATAAACAAATAAGAGTTATTGCCCTTGACTTGGCCAAATATGTCAGAATTGGTAAATTTGGAGTTATCGCTTAGACTAAGGTAAACATATTTTTTTTCTTTTGCAGATTTCCTGGAATCGCTGCCTCTATCTAACACACCGGAAGTATTTGGTTTACATCCTAATGCCGAGATAGGGTACTATACACAGGCTGCTAGAGATATGTGGTCTCATTTAGTCGAACTACAACCTCAAACTGGTAGGCCAATTTCTATTCTTCGATAAAAATATTATGATTGCTCCATTTTTGTGAAAAGGTTTGCTTTGAGGGGGGTCTGAGCTCAGTCGATTAGAACATTAGAGTCTTAAAGTGATGTCCATAGCTTAAACTGGTCGTGGAGTCTACATAAATGCAGTGATTTGGTTGAATTATGTGTTAGAGACGAGGGCTATGATTGGTCGTATTTGCTGGTGTACAATCCAATCAGATGGCTTCATTTACAAATCTCTATGATACAAGAAAGGTGACTATCAGTCAAGGTATAAGACACAGTTCGTAATAGCGTGACATTGTGAAGATGAAGTACATATGTATATATAAGATATTTAAAACGTATTATTATATTCCAGGTGAAAGTGGAGGTGGAATAAGTCGTGAAGAGTTCATCGATAAAATCGCAACAGACGTGCTCAACAAACTACCCGAGGAATTTGACCTAGATAAAATACGTAAAAAGTTTGGTATCGATATTTCTCCCACAACGGTTGTGTTGTTACAAGAATTAGAGCGATTCGATAAACTTATTATCAGAATGAGAAGATCGTTAACTACGTTGCAACGAGTAAGTTTTTCACCCTTTACATCCTCTAGAGGGCTAAAATTTAATTAGTGTGTTATCCTTTACATCCTCTGGCATGGCTTAGACCCCTTCTAGATTGGCTAACATGTAATAAGTGTTACTCTGTTCACTCTCTAGATAAGCTTGAAGTGAGTCAGTGTGCCCTTTACACCTTCTAGATTGGCTTATATTGGTTTGTGCTTTAAAATGGTATGTGTCAGACAGACGAAAGTTTATTTAATTTAAAAGATGTTGTTATAAAAAATGTGAATTTTCAACTCAGTTCTCTATTCAAACAGGAGGGACTTTTACTGTTAACAAAAGTTAAGACAGCTTAACTATCAACTGTTTTTCGAGCCTGGTGTTTTTTTAGTCGTCTGGACGTGAATGGTCAAACATAGGAGAAGATTAATCAGTTGTTAAGAAGAGAAGAAACTCAATCTTAGTAACAAATGGTCAAATCTTTTCTGCCATTCATTATCAAAGTTGATTCAGTTTTAAGGAAACAAAATCAAAAGAAAATAATTGTTTCTAATGCTGGCAGAAAATTCAAAACTTTTTTCTATTCCAGGCATTGGCTGGAGAAGTAGGTATGAGTAGTGAACTTGATGAAGTTGCCAGAGCGTTATTTAATGGCCAGATTCCATCAATCTGGCGACGCCTTGCTCCAGATACCCTCAAATCTCTGGGTAACTGGATGATTCATTTTGAACGAAGATTTAAACAATACAACTTCTGGGTAAGTCACAATTTTTTTTGGGTGACTTTAGACAGAATGATAGATAGATGTAATTATACCAATAATTAGAGTTTTATTTTGCATCATCGAAATTGATGATCTGTTTCACCATAAACTGAATGTATTAAGCTATATGAATTGTAGACAGTAGGAAGTAATACTCTATTATATTTATGATAATTATTTCTATTAAATATGTTAAAGATGAACAAACAGGGGCCTTGTTCTCAAAAACTTGAATAAGATACAATCCAGATTTTATGAGGTATAGTAATCTGACTGGATAACAAAACTAAATTTAAAATTATTTTTAATAATTGACCAATCAGATGACTGGAACACGAACATCATCTTAAGTTAAATTTTCCAGAATAAGACCTCAGAACAAAAGGATATAAAAATTTATTTTATTACTGTAAGTTTAATAAGATATAGAATAGTACAATATTCTACATGTATTTATGACATATGCTAAAGATTAATATTTGTAATCCAGGTAAATGAAAGTGAACCACCAGTTATGTGGTTATCAGGGTTACACATCCCAGAATCCTATTTAACAGCTCTAGTACAAGCAACGTGTCGTAAGAATGGCTGGCCGCTAGATAAATCAACTCTTTACACATCTGTTACGCAGTATCAGACGGCTGATGATGTCACAGAACGTGCTCATTCAGGTCAGTACTTATTTGCATAATTTTGAATAATTTGGATAAGCCTTACATGGTGCCATTTTATCCTCATGCCTCTACCCCATGAGTATTGCACTATATTTTTGAACATGTTCCACTATTTTGCTTGCAGGCTGTTTTGTGACTGGTCTGTATTTAGAGGGTGCTGCTTGGGACAGGAAAGAAATGTGTCTGATTCGACAGAAACCAAAACAACTTATACAAGAGTTACCTGTCCTGAAAATTATACCTATAGAATCACACAGGTTGAAATTACAGGTCAGTGTTTTATTTATCGTCTTTTCTTTTCTATTGTCCAATAAGATTCAAAACAGTAGGCCGTAAAACTCATGTCCTTTCTATATTTTAGGCTTTAGTAATATTTTTCATCCCCAAATATCAGACATTTGATTCTGGATTCTGGACTTCTATAGCAAAATCTTCATTTAAATATTTGTCTTTCAGAATACATTACGAACACCAGTGTATGTGACCTCACAGAGAAGAAATGCCATGGGGGTGGGGCTGGTGTTTGAAGCTGATCTAGCCACCACTGAACATATCAGTCACTGGGTACTACAGGGGGCTTGTCTTATTCTCAACACAGATTAGAACCATAATAGAGTTGAATTCACCATCATATAGAATATAAAATAGGGGATTTGTGTTTTAAAAATTTTGATTAAGCGACAAAAGGTAAAAAGATGAGAAATTTATGTACATTGTAATACATTGTTAAGAGGGGAAAAGAATAAAAACTATATATTTAGATAGATAATAATATAGAACTATATTAACATTGTAATACATTGTTAAGAGGGGAAAAGAATTAAAACTATATATTTAGATAGATAATGATATAGAACTATATTAACATTGTAATACATTGTTAAGAGGGGAAAAGAATAAAAACTATATACTTAGATAGATAATAATATAGAACTATATTAACATTGTAATACATTGTTAAGAGGGGAAAAGAATTAAAACTATATATTTAGATAGATAATAATATAGAACTATATTAACATTGTAATACATTGTTAAGAGGGGAAAAGAATTAAAACTATATATTTAGATAGATAATAATATAGAACTATATTAACATTGTAATACATTGTTAAGAGGGGAAAAGAATTAAAACTATATATTTAGATAGATAATAATATAGAACTATATTAACATTGTAATACATTGTTAAGAGGGGAAAAGAATTAAAACTATATATTTAGATAGATAATAATATAGAACTATATTAACATTGTAATACATTGTTAAGAGGGGAAAAGAATTAAAACTATATATTTAGATAGATAATAATATAGAACTATATTAACATTGTAATACATTGTTAAGAGGGGAAAAGAATTAAAATATATTTAGATAGATAATAATATAGAACTATATTAACATTGTAATACATTGTTAAGAGGGGAAAAGAATTAAAACTATATATTTAGATAGATAATAATATAGAACTATATTAACATTGTAATACATTGTTAAGAGGGGAAAAGAATTAAAACTATATATTTAGATAGATAATAATATAGAACTATATTAACATTGTAATACATTGTTAAGAGGGGAAAAGAATTAAAACTATATATTTAGATAGATAATAATATAGAACTATATTAACATTGTAATACATTGTTAAGAGGGGAAAAGAATTAAAACTATATATTTAGATAGATAATAATATAGAACTATATTAACATTGTAATACATTGTTAAGAGGGGAAAAGAATTAAAACTATATATTTAGATAGATAATAATATAGAACTATATTAACATTGTAATACATTGTTAAGAGGGGAAAAGAATTAAAACTATATATTTAGATAGATAATAATATAGAACTATATTAACATTGTAATACATTGTTAAGAGGGGAAAAGAATTAAAACTATATATTTAGATAGATAATAATATAGAACTATATTAACATTGTAATACATTGTTAAGAGGGGAAAAGAATTAAAACTATATATTTAGATAGATAATAATATAGAACTATATTAACATTGTAATACATTGTTTAGTTTCATTTAAAAATGATTAAAATAAGGAATGATTATTTGAGGTTACATAATGACAACTTTGTAGCTGACTGATTTTTTGTGAAACTGATTAACGATTTTGTTGCTTTGTCAAAAATATCAAACGAAATCCTTGTTATCACTTTTATCAAAATGGCCACTTATTTTTGCGAAATTATTTTTAATAGATTTTTATAACAAAGTGTCTTTGAGATACTGTTTTAGTCTAGTATAGGTAGATTTGAATAGATTAGGGTAGAATTGAAAGTTCTGACTTCACTTTTTTTAAACTGAATTTGGACTTGAATTGTATAAAACACACTAAATTTTAAGCAAAAAAAATCCTATCCTTAAAATGTCTGTTGATTTGGCTGTTTGAATATTTGCCAGATATGTTGGACTTGAGTTATAAAATGACTGACTGTTCAGTTTGTTGTATGTGTCTGTCTGCCATGATCGGAGCTCTGAATGAATGTAATTCAGAGATTAGAGAACTATGATACAACAAATTCTTATCATTTGATATTATTTGATCTGTTATAATATAAAACTACAGTACTGTTATTTTAAACTATGTTAGGGTTTTATTTCGTGCTAAGATAAGGCGTACATTAAAGGGACAGATAGGCCATAATTTGACCAATCATACTTTAGTCTCAGAAACTGGAAAAGACTTATACAGAAATAGTGAGTAAAATTCCTAGTTTAAGTATTTTTAAAGAAATTCTAGTACTTATGAAGACTTTTCATATATTCAAGACTAAAATCAACTCCCCAAAATGGCACATCTGTCCCTTTAAATAGAAATATAAAAGAAAGGAAAGTAAGATTTATATCTTACCTGATTTTTATGTCAAAAAACATAGAAATATAAAATATATATACATGTATATCAATATAAGAATTAATCATATGATATCAAAGATTCTTTTTAACATTTTGAATTGATGTCATAAAACGAGAAAAATACAATCTGAAAATAAAAAATATTAATCATTAGCTCTAAGTGTGTCAACAAATCTAAGTGATATATTCCCTTAATTATTCAAATAACCAGCTGATAGAATCTAAAATCAATAGACTTTTGCTTTTATTTGTTTGGATTATAAAAAGCTTTCTTTTCATTCTATGGGTAACTGAAATTAAGTTTTATCTGCTGAATAAATTAGATGAATGTATAACTTAAAATTATGTTTGATTGGTCAGAGAGCTTATATAAAATTCTTTTGATTTGTAAATATTTATTTAGATGACAAGATCCCTTAAAATTTTTAATATTCTGATTCTTGTTAGCTATTATAGAAAAAAAACAAACACAATGAAACAAAATTTCTACAATTTCTGATAATGTCAGGTTATGTGAAACTATACTTGAAACTTTACTTGAAACTTTACTTGAAACTTTACTTGAAAAAATCGCGAGAACAATTTCATCTATTACATGCAATATCTACTTTTTCATGACAAATTCTATTGTTCAGAAGAAAAGAAGAAAAGCTGTAAAATAATCGTTTTTAGAGTCTTACATAATAATAACTTTAGAAATTTTCTTTTTTTGTTTTTTTATTGGACAGTAACATGCAATCACTGTACGACAATTACTTAAAGAGCATGAAACAGTCATGATATTAGAGAAAATATTTTATTACTATAGTTACAGTTATCTTTACCTATTACTGTTCTTATTGTCTGAGCAAAGCTATCAAGTTATATAAAGCATTCTGTATTCCTTCCACCACATTCAGCATTCCTTCCACCATATTCAGCATTCCTTCCACCATATTCAGCATTCCTTCCACCACATTCAGCATTCCCTCCACCACTTGAAAATTTATTTGTTCATCATTTTGAACTTTTGTCCCAAAAACAGCTTTCCTTCAAATAATATATAAAATACTGCAAATATTTTTATTTTGTTTTGTGAAGAATCAGCATTAAATCAAGTGTTTTTCACATATTTTAGTGGGTGGATTCTATGATTTACAGAAATAAAATTTGAGTTTTTAAACATCTAAAAATTGTATCTATTTAAGCCTACACAGCATTATATCTTTTTAAGCCATTCAGTATTATTCTTTTTTTTCAATGAACATTTAGAAGAAAAAGTAGATATTGATATTTTTGTTTAAATTCCATCCATTAAATATAAATTGTCAGGGCCATAACTATCTTTAAATTCTTACAGAACTCTAAACTCACAGATTAAAATTTAAAAAACAGAAGTAATTTAAAGAATTAAAAATCTTGTTTAAAACAGACTTGAAATCCATGAAGATTAACAGCGAATCATGCCATAATATTACTTTTCTGACTCTCATTTTTATTACCCTGTCTGATATTTTGGAGGGATTAGTTGTGAATCCAAGGGATTTGTTCTCATCAAGGCCTTTTATGCAATACAGCCTTCATTTCAATTTAAAACGATTTGATTCTCGCGAAACTGGGTTATTCAGAAACTTGTTTTCAGGAATTCAGAAATCTCAATTTAATAACTTACAAACCTCTGATTGGTTGGTCAAGATTAAGATTAACCAATCAGATCTGATATGTTTTAACTCATCTGATTGGTCAGTCAGTTCTGATTAAAATAAACCAATCAGATTTCGTGTAACAAAAATTTTAACTCATCTGATTGGTCAGTCAGTTCTGAATAAGATTAACCAATCAGATCTTTATATTCGAAGCTATAACCCATTTGATTGGTCAATGAAGGCTAATTAAATTTGACCAATCATCATAAGCTCTAAGCTCTACTGTAGTACATTTGACCAATCAGATTTAAGTAAACTATTCAGTTAAGATATTTAAAATAAATCTGAAGTTTAAGAATTTGTTATTCAAAATAATTGAAAATAGCCCAAATATTTATTTTCTATTTTATTTATTTATTAAGCCAATTCTTAAAGTGCTGAATTGTAAGATATATGTGATAATTTAATTTTTAAAAAATAAAAATCTATAATTTTGAAGCCATTATTCCGTCCTGGAACTTGTGATTGTTGTTTATTTTTAAGGAATTGTTTATTAATTTATTTATTTATACAAGCCTGTGATTTCACAATAAAATGTCAGATATATTCAGCGAGATTTATTATTTATCCATGTAATATGTATGTTTGTAGTTATATCATGAATTTGGATGTAGCCATATTACGAATTTGAATGTAGCCTTATAATGAATTTGGATGTAACCATATAATCAATTTGGATGTAGCAATAGGCTATAATGAATTTGAATGTAGCCATAGGCTATAATGGAGTTAAATGTAGCCACATTACGAATTTGAATATAGCCAAATAACGAATTTGGATGTAGCCATATTATGAATTTGAATGTACACATAACGAATTTGGATGAAATTATGTAACATTTGGTTGTAGTCATGTTACGAATTAGGATGTAGCCATATTACGAATTTTGATGTAGCTATATTACGAATTTAAATGTAGTCATATTACGAATTGGGATATAGCCATGTAGTAGAATTAGGTTGTAGAACGTATTTTGCTATGAATAATGAATTTGAATATGTATGAATGTTGACATATACATTATCGAATGTAACCATATTACAAGGATACAGCCTTAGTCTGAACGTTTCGTAGAGGATCTCTAGGCGGCTACACGGATAGAACGATACAGATTCAGAAAAACTCTTACATATTGAGCTTGGCATGTGATTAATTGCTTATACGAGTATAGGGGCTAATATTTTAATTATTTATTTATAATTTCAGATTTCTTTCATTCAACAATGTTCTTGTTCCAGCAATTGATTGGTGGAGAAATCTAACTTTAATTGTGCCTCGAAGACTGAACCTATCTGCTTGATTATCTTATCTTTAAATCTCGTGTGATATACTTTCAACAAACGCTATTACAAAAATTTAAAATTCATTTTTGCATCAGCTGATCTAGGATTTTTTAAATGAAATTATAGTTTAAATATCGTGTACTTTAAGAAAACAGTATTTGAAGAAGAAAAAAACAATTATAGTAGAAAATGCGCAGATCCATCTAATTGCTAATTAAGGTCAAGACTTGTTCTCATGTAATCCAAAACATCTGCCTTTATTCCAGCCTCTGATGGGTATTTTGACATCTGTCTAAAATGCTACTTTAAGCTGGAATAGAGGAAGAAAGACAGATGCTTCGGTCTAGTTCACACGGTGTTGGGAATATGGAAGCCGAATATTTTAAGGAGCGGAGAATTATAACTGCGAGAAAAAAAAATCCGCTACTATCTGGTAAATTGACCTAAAAATACCATACCACGCTCCTCGAAAATAACATCGTCTCCGACGACCTTTGAAACCACTTATACAGATAATTGTCTATTTGGAATATTGTAAAATGTCAGCATCTTTAAAACATTTCACACCCCCGGGGCGTCAATTTAAAATTGATATTTAATACCTGAAGTGTAATTATTCTAACTGCCTCTTGAGTTATCTCACAAATCAGAAATTAATTGTCCATTGCAGAGAGTAAGTAGGCGGAAAGAAAATCAAGACAGAATTGTTTGGGGTTTGTTTTACGTAATAGTCGTCGACCTACAACTATAATCCTATAATGTCTTATACCGCCTCCATTCCTTATAACTTCTTACTGGCAGTGATGTTGTTTAACTCATTGGCTCTGTTGGTAGACAATCCGTCTCTTTTCTACAGTCGCCACTCGCCACCATCCTGGGGTTTTTCTGAGAATCGTTTTACAATCTGGACAGACGACCTACGTAGCCGTTACTAACACTGTCGCTATCCAAGTAAAACATATAACAGCCAGAACCATCCAGTATGTTGTTTAGGGGTTATTTGAGAATCGTTCTACGCCGTGTCACCATTAGACTTACTATAACACTGTTTTTTTTTTCAGACGTCGGACAACACCTAAAACAAACCAAAAAAAAGCGCCTTGTCTTTCGGATGGGACAGTAAACCGAAGCCTTGTGTGCTACAGATTGTGCACGTTAAAGATCCTTCGACAGTGGGTAATCGACAAAGAGCAGGATAAAGTCGCTGTACTGTCCTCATTGCACGTCTTTATTTACCAACATGGTGCAGAAAGGTAGGACGTAAAACTCCCTTCATTTCATTTCCAGAACCAACCAGAATGTTTTTTAGACAATCATGTCACTGCTGGTTTCAGACGTCGCTCTCCCCTCAATACCCACAACCAACCAACATCTGGACATCGTTTTAGACTCCAGACAGACGATCATGTGGTCATTACTGTTTCAGAAGTCGGTCTCCCAGCAACACCCAACACCCGATCATGTCACTCACCTAGAAACATCCAGCACCCACAACTTACAAGATGTTGTTGGGAACCATTTTAAACTTTGGATTCCTCAAATGGGAAAGGGCAGAGGAGACCAATACATAATCACGAAAATCATATAAATATATGAAAAATATACCAATAAAGAACAGAAAAACCGACAAAATTTTGATAACAAAAAAGATCCAGAGAAAAAGGACGATATGACTGGCCGATGGCAATGTCTAAATGTTTTAAGCCAATTTCCTTTGTAGACAGGTCGTCTATTGTCAGTCAAATGTCAACTCTTGATTCTTAATAATTACAACTTTAAGGGTACCGAATAGACCTATCTTTTTTTACTTCCGAAAAGATATCTTGTCCTTGAAGGTACTCAAGGCACGTTTACGTAATGGCAACACCGAACAAAAGATCAACCAACGACCAATTGTACACGGAAGAAATTTGCATCAAATATAAAGTGACCATTGACAAACAATGCAATGCAAACGATAAAGGTGCGACAACAATTAGCACACAGATCAAATTTGCAACAACGGTCAGTAGCAAACATGAGAAATATATCCAATAGCAAGCGAAGAAGCTACGACTACAATATACAAGAAATTAGTAAGAAATAAAAAGAAGCAGCGACCACTGGCCAGAAATTTGACAATACAATTAGATATTTTCAGAGAAATGAGCAAGGGCGAACATTAAAACCCTGGACTGATACTAGACTAGTGAGACCGAGTGAAAAACGAAAGTAGAAGATCAATATGTTTGTGATTTGTTCTGATTAGATCGAACATCAAAATGGAAATATATTCATTATATTCTTATCCCGTCATTCTCTTCAAATCAGCGTTTCTTGTCTGATTTCACCAATATCCAACCCCAATCATTTGTCTGGAGTAGAACTTTATACATAATTCTTTCTTTGACGATTGTTCTTTATCTTAAACGCTGGGAATAGTCTCCTAGATAATTCTTTCATTGACGATTGTTCTGTATCCAAAAACTTTAATCAAACTTTGACCCCGTGAAGACCCGTTCAAAATTAATAAATTTAATTGCCCCATTGTGTTTTGTTACAGTAATGGAATTGGTCGGTTGTCATTATTTTTCAAGGGGGCCAATTCCATTTTTTCGTGGAAGTCATTGCCTTGCCTGTGTCTTAATGGCAATTTTGAATAACATCAAATTTAAATTTCATGACAATTCTTAACCTGACAAAGTCTTTTAAACAATACTTTTACCCTTTTTTGAACAAAGATTTTGATGAACGCGAAAAGCTTCCAGGATGATATTGTTGTTGCTCACAGCTCCTTTCAATACTGTTTCATATGACGTCATAAAACCGTGCAACTCTGCACGTTCGTGGCATCATAATTATTACCTTTAATGCCCATAATTTGATGTAAATTAAACTGAAGGGCGTTAATTTTTCTTATATAATTTTCCTCAAACTTTACTTTTTTCCAGACGTTGGGTTATGAATTTGGAAAATACATAAAATCACGAAATCCAATAGCCCATAATATAGCATTAAGTCCTATATTAGTCCGAAACATGCTATCTTTTAGTAACCTGGTGGATAATTTTGACCAATGGTACTAAACATATCAAGCACAGGCCAGGTAAGAAGTACCAAGTTTCGGACTAGGTTAACCTAAAGTGAATTAGTGCTAATCAAATCTACTATGATTAGTAATAATACCAAGATACAGCTTTTAGTAGAATTAGTCAAATTAGCAAATTATATTCAGACAATCCGAGGTACTAATTTTTATTATCAGTTGAAAATATCGAGGTTTCGTCTGCTTCTAATCTTTGTTTCTCGCATTGATTTTTGATTGTCGAACGTGAATGTCACTATAGAATTACAAATTAGGTGACGCAGCTCTCGTCTGCTATAAAAGTCTTGTAATTTGATTCCAATCAGCAGACGATTAAAGGAAATTGTCAGGAATTGCATGAAACGGTAAGTTTTTTTGTTTTTAGTGTTTTTTAGGGGAGGGTTTGGGGGAGAAGGGTCAGCTGATACTTAATGAAAATTTTTATTTCTTCTTTTTCTTTATTTTTATTTTTTTAATTAGATTACCGGCTTCAAGGAAGTACGATAGTCTTGGAATAACTTCGCTGTGATGAACAAAAATCAAGTTTTGTTGTTCTACGTTTCATTTAGACTTTACACAATTTTTGTCTGAAGATTACCCTCGGTAAAAACAAATATCAAAATGAGCATGCTTACTCTTTACGAAGCACCTGATGGTACTTCTCTTTAAAGGGAGTCCACTACTATACCTTTTACTCTCGATTTTGCCATACTTTGGACACAATGTTTGATTCATGAAGTACTTCTGCTTGTACGGATGTTTTTTTTATCAAAATGATTTAAAATATATCCTCATGTTTATCACTACAAAACCATTTTTGAGACTATCATTACTTTTTGACAACAGTGAACCACTATCTAGAATATAACGCAGAGTTAGGCGATGTCTGGTGTTTCCATAAACAGGCAATAGCACAACAGTGAAACTTCCCTCCAATATATAACGGAAGTTAGGTGATGTTTGGCAATACTACTGTAATGGACCACTCTCTAGAATATAACCTAGAGTTGATGATGTCTGGTGTTTCTATGAACAGACAATAGTTCAACAGTAGACCACTCTAGAATATAACCCAGAGTTAGGTGATGTCTGGTGTTTCTATAAACATACAATAGTACAACAGTAGACCACTCTAGAATATAACCCAGAGTTAGGTGATGTCTGGTGTTTCTATAAACAGACAATAGTACAACAGTAGACCACTCTAGAATATAACCCAGAGTTATGGGGTATCTGGTGTTTCTATAAACATACAATAGTACAACAGTAGACCACTCTCTGTACTATAACCAGGGTGATGTCTGGTGTTTCTATAAACAGATAGAAATACAACAGTGGGCCACTCTGGAATAAAACCCAGAGCTAGATGATATCTTTCGTTTCAGTACAACATCGGGTCATCCTCTAGAATATAACCCAGAGTTAGGTGATGTCTGGTGTAACTGTACAACAGTGAGAAACTCCCTAGAATATACTGCAGTGTCGGTGATGTCTATTTAAGTTTTAAATATAACAGTGAACCGCTCTCTAGAATATAGTTCAGAGTTATGTGATGTCCATGTTAGATAAACTAGATGTGGATAATCATCGAGATCGTCGTACCATTGCTAAAGGGACACGGGTGATGTCTGGTGTTTCTATAATTTGCCTAGAACAATAGTCATCACTGGTGAACAATTCATGATGAATATTCAAGATGTTAGAGAATGTCTGTATCGCGTGACAATCTTGTCCTACCCTTTACATGATGTAACATCAAGATAATCTAATTGGAATAAGATTGGGGCATGATAACTGACATCTGCACAATGTCACGCTATTATGAACTGTGTCTTATACCTTGACTGCAATAGCTACCTTTCTTGTATCACATCTCCACAATGTCAAGCTATAACGAACTGTGTCTAATACATCTTCACAATGTCAAGCTATAACAAACTGTGTCTAATACATTTTCACAATGTCAATCTATAACGAACTGTGTCTTATACCTTGACTGCAATAGTCACCTTTGCTTGTATAATGGAAGTTTGTAAATGAAGCGATTTGATTGGATTGTACCGAACACAGCCAATCGGAGACCTCCTATAAACTACCATCTGCTCAATGCCAAGCTATTACGATCTGCATCTAATACCTTTACTGCAATAGGTTAATTTCTTGTATAGGGAATACAGTTCACCAATAAAGCCCATAATGACTGTAAGCATTATTGATTGTGATTTACAGACTCTCTGTCGATGGATCTGATTGGCTTGAATTTTGTAAAGTACAATCCAATCAAATCGCTGCACTTACAAATTTACGTGACAGAAGAAAAGTGGCTATTGATGTCAAAGTATTAAAAGCAGTTCGTAATAGCGTGACATTGTGATGATGGAAAACAGACTGTGTATTTTTTATATTTTTTGTCCCCGGAAAACATGGTATTTAATGTCAAGAGTTAAGATCTAAACTCTGGAGTGGGTGACGGAGGTATTTTAGTATCAGCTGTCACTCTGTCAAACAATAATATGTCCTCAAGTTATTTAACCTTTTATTGTGGCAGCAAGCTATTTTTTGTTATTTGAAATAAGTGGGAAATATCAATGCTGACATCAAGATATTTCCTGTGGTGCATTTTTTTGCTGTGGGTGACTCAATCCGCCTTTCATCAGATCTGTATTGAGATCAGATTGTCGTAATGGTTATGTTGTTCTCGAACACTATAAGAGTAATTTCATACAGAGCCCTTTATTCGCATCCTGTAAACTACTTTTGGTAGCTTGTCGTTGGCTTTGCATTTGTCTGTTTTCTGTTTTTGACTCAATAAAATTTAAAATTACTTTAATACTTGACTTAGACAGTATATTTTTTCTTCTTGTAACTTAGACCAATGTTTATCTAGAAAAGTATCTCTATAACACTTATATATGGCTAATATTTTAGGACTTAGACCACTACCCCCAATAATCTATCACTTTCCTAGTAACCTTCTTAGTCTGTTAACGGTCTTCGTCTCTTGAGCGGGAAACCACATCTCCCCTTGTAGGTTTATAGTCTGTTAATTTCATTGTTATATTTTTAGGAACAATGGAGTATTCAGTGAGATATATAATGTTTATTTTATCATGTGTTATTTTATTCTGTGAATCTACTGCCAGTTTTGAAGGTAATTTATATTTTACTGCATCATATCTTTTTTTTTTTTTTTGCATCTTTACGACCGATTAATATCGAGTATTCAACTGTTGGCAACAAAGAACCGTTTGACTAGTAATCACATCCATATTCTCTACGACGTTTCGACATAATCCAGTATTCTTTGTCAAGAGCAGAATGTAAAGAATTAAAGGGATTGTAAAGAGGTTTTCTAAAATTGGTATGTGTATCAGGGACACAGATAGCTTCAATTTGCGCCAATCCAAATTTCAATCAGACGTCTAAAAAACTTAAGAAACCTCTTTACAATTCCAAGATTGTTTTCAATGAGTTACAATCAGATTTTACTGATCATTTTTTAAATTCTGTTCATAATCGCCAACATGTTTTTATACGCCCACATGAAATGGGGGGCGTATATTGTCGTCACCCATGCTCGTCCGTCCACAATTGCTCGTAAACACTCTACAGGGCACAATTCTTGACGGATTTTGACGAAACTTGGTATGAGTGTTTGTAATCACCCAAGGATAAACCCTATTGAAAATCGGCGAAATCGAAAAATATTTAGTATGAATTATTGCCCTTGTTCTTGCAAACGCGTTCAATTTTTAGCTCGTAAACACTCTAGAAGGCACAATTCTTGACAGATTTTGACGAAACTTGGTATGAGTGTTCGTTATCACCCAAGGATAGACCCTATTGAAAATCAGCGAAATCGAAAAATATTAAGTATGAATTATTGCCCTTGTTCTTGAAAATGCGTTCAATTTTTAGCTCGTAAACACTCTAGAAGGCATAATTCTTGAAGGATTTTAACGAAACTTGGTATGAGTGTTCGTAATCACCCAAGGATAAACCCTATTGAAAATCAGCGAAATCGAAAAATATTTAGTATGAATTATTGCCCTTGTTCTTGCAAACGCGTTCAATTTTTAGCTGGTAAACACTCTAGAAGGCACAATTCTTGACAGATTTTGACGAAATTTGGTATGAGTGTTCGTTATCACCCAAGGATAGACCCTATTGAAAATCAGCGAAATCGAAAAATATTAAGTATTTATTATTGCCCTTGTTCTTGCAAACGCGTTCAATTTTTAGCTCGTAAACACTCTAGAAGGCACAATTCTTGAAGGATTTTAACGGAATATTTCCTGGTGTCTATGTTTGCTATTTTCTAACAAATATTCAATTTCAAACAAAGCTATCAGTGGGCGTATATTACCATGCCTGGCAAGCTATCTTTTAAAGGTTTCAAAGGGAATTTTCAGTGGTGCTTTCTTAAGTTTTGTCAGTTAACACAGTGAAGGCATAGCCTGTGGCCCCCACTGGAAAATGTTGTGGCCCCTGCTAGGCAACCCTCAACTAACTTTTACTATAAACGCCACTGGTAATTTTCTAGTCTGTATATTGCATCGGAGACATTTTACTTTTATTTGCACAATTTTGATTTCCCAGCGGACGTTTTTGGTTCGTGTCATTCGAGAAAACTAAGATCGTAATAGCTTGACATTGTGAAGATGTGGCTATTGAAGACGGACAGTGTGCAAGAAGGAGCATTTTGTCTAGAAAACAGCATGAACGACTCTTTTTAGATTTCAAACTGCCGAGGTATCTTTACAGGTAAACAGCCTGACCCACGACCAATCTCAACCTACTAGCGATGTAGACTACTTTTCTTGTTTTTCAGAAGCTGTACCGAGTAATTACAGGGAAGCAGGAAACGAAGTCTACAATGTTCAACCGCCAGACACCACAGACGTTGATAAGAGGCCGTTTGGTCGGTTATTTGGTCCAACTTGGTCCATGTCAAAACGTCCTTTTGGAAGCCTTTTCGGATCTTACCCTTCCATTCGACAGACACCTGTCTATAGAACGGTGGTCGAGAAACGGCCCTTTGGGCGCATGTTCGGGGATAGTTTTAATACAGGAAAGCGGTCGGAGATGGCAAAGCGACCTTTTGGACGAATGTTCGGAGACAGTTTTAATGCGGGAAAGCGGTCGGAGATGACAAAACGACCTTTTGGACGCATGTTCGGAGACAGTTTCAATGCGGGAAAGCGGTCGGAGATGGCAAAACGACCTTTTGGACGCATGTTCGGAGACAGTTTCAATACGGGAAAGCGGTCGGAGATGGCAAAACGGCCTTTTGGACGCATGTTCGGAGACAGTTTCAATGCAGGAAAGCGGTCGGAGATAACAAAACGACCTTTTGGACGCATGTTTGGTCCAACGTTTTTTGATGGAAAAAGATCAGAGGTATCCAAACGGCCTTTCGGAAGAATGTTCGGACCAGGTGCTTTTGGAAAACGATATTTTGAAGACGACTTACCAGAAGATGGAACAGAATATTTAGAAGCACCAATCGAAGATTTGGAGAAACGATTTTCATGGACATTATCTGGATATAAGCTTGGACGGAAATAAACAGAAGAAACTTACAACATTTAGAAAATCATAATCAAAAAGTTTAGAAAATCAACAACACCACCATTATCTTGAATCTAAACTACGTCAGTCTCTTTGTCTTATAAATGTTTTCGGTGAAATTTTACACTCATGACAATAATTTTTTACTAAAAATGTATAACTGACAACGAAACGCAACTGTAAGCTGCAGCGTTCAAACCGTACAGACGTAAATGATCGGGAATGAAGGGATGAAAATTGTTTTGTTTGGACTATTTGGAACATAACGGACATTACATCGAAACGTGGTAGCCCATTTCATCTACGTACGGATGTTTCACTTGAAAGTTCAGTCCGAAACATCTGCCTCTATGCCCACCAAATTTTTGTTGATTGCCCACAAACTTATGTTGGACTTCCAATAGACCAAAAAGACATCTGCCTCTATCCCAGCCAATATTTTGACAGATATTTGCAACTTTCAAATTATCTATCAGAAGCTGGAATAGAGGTAGGTGATTCGGTCTATTGAAAGTCCAGATACAGATGGTCCTACCCATTCAACGGACGTGATATATGGATTGACTTCTTCACAGTGCCGATAACACATCTATATATCACGTCTGAGGAACCGTGTTGGACGATATCACATCCTCGCGTGTATCACGTCTAAGGAACCGTGTTGGACGATACCACATCTAAATATCACGTCTAAGGAACCGTGTTGGACGATACCACATCTAAATATCACGTCTAAGGAACCGTGTTGGACGATATCACATCCTCTCGTGTATCACGTCTGAGGAACCGTGTTGGACGATATCACATCCTCGCGTGTATCACGTCTGAGGAACCGTGTTGGACGATATAACATCCTCGCGTGTATCACGTCTAAGGAACCGTGTTGGACGATATCACATCCTCTCGTGTATCACGTCTGAGGAACCGTGTTGGACGATATCACATCCTCGCGTGTATCACGTCTAAGGAACCGTGTTGGACGATACCACATCTAAATATCACGTCTAAGGAACCGTGTTGGACGATACCACATCTAAATATCACGTCTAAGGAACCGTGTTGGACGATATCACATCCTCTCGTGTATCACGTCTGAGGAACCGTGTTGGACGATATCACATCCTCTCGTGTATCACGTCTGAGGAACCGTGTTGGACGATATCACATCATCGCGTGTATCACGTCTGAGGGACCGTGTTGGACGATATCACATCCTCTCGTGTATCACGTCTAAGGAACCGTGTTGGACGATATCACATCCTCGCGTGTATCACGTCTGAGGAACCGTGTTGGACGATATCACATCCTCTTGTGTATCACGTCTGAGGAATCGAGTTGGTCAATATCCCATTCTCGCGTAATTTACGTCTGGGGAACCTAGTTGAACGATAACCCATCCTCACGTAAATCCATTCGTTGGACAAAAATGAAATAGACTTCCTAGACATAATTTTGTGCGCAATCCTCTCTCAGACAATACCCATTTTAAATATTCACGAAAGCAGTGGCTCTAATAAGGGAGAACAGGGATCCTTTAAAATTGCATAAAATACAGAATTCCAGCCTTAATGTTTTCAAATATTTCATCCCTAGAATGCATTAGTTCTGCAGCCGTCAGTCGGTATTCTAAGATACTTTATAGATAAACGAAAAAGTTATATCAATATTTTAAAATGTATGCTAGATATGAGAGATGTATAAATATTTTGTAAAGAAATGAGTCATTTTTAAACAGGAAATTGTCTTTTAAATGTCGAGATTTTTGAACTTGTGAAAATGTGTCCAAGGGAAGAGGAATCGGTTAGGCGGACAAAATAATATCATCTTCACAATATCAAGCTATTACGGACTTCATCTTCATAATATCAAGCTATTACAAACTTCATCTTCATAATATCAAGCTATTACAAACTTCATCTTCATAATGTCAAGCTATTACAAACTTCATCTTCATAATATCAAGCTATTACAAACTTCATCTTCACAATGTCAAGCTATTACAAACTTCATCTTCATAATATCAAGCTATTACAAACTTCATCTTCACAATGTCAAGCTATTACAAACTTCATCTTCATAATATCAAGCTATTACAAACTTCATCTTCATAATGTCAAGCTATTACAAACTTCATCTTCATAATATCAAGCTATTACAAACTTCATCTTCACAATGTCAAGCTATTACAAACTTCATCTTCATAATATCAAGCTATTACAAACTTCATCTTCATAATATCAAGCTATTACAAACTTCATCTTCATAATATCAAGCTATTACAAACTTCATCTTCATAATGTCAAGCTACTACAAACTTCATCTTCATAATATCAAGCTATTACAAACTACATCTTCACAATGTCAAGCTATTACGGTCTTCATCTTCACAATATCAAGCTATTACAAACTTCATCTTCATAATGTCAAGCTATTACAAACTTCATCTTCATAATGTCAAGCTATTACAAACTTCATCTTCACAATATCAAGCCATTACAAACTTCATCTTCACAATGTCAAGCTATTACAAACTTCATCTTCACAATGTCATGCTATTACAAACTTCATCTTCACAATGTCAAGCTATTACAAACTTCATCTTCATAATGTCATGCTATTACAAACTTCATCTTCACAATATCAAGCTATTACGGACTTCATCTTCACAATATCAAGCTATTACAAACTTCATCTTCACAATGTCAAGCTATTACAAACTTCATCTTCATAATGTCAAGCTAATACGGACCTCATCTTCACAATATCAAGCTATTACGGACTTCGACCATGATATAGCAATTACCACTATTCTAGTAACGCGGAATACCAGCGATTTGGTTGAATTGTACGCTAGCGAATACAGTCGCTCCGAGCCCTCGACAGAAAGGCTGCGTGTTCACAGACTGTCTGTCGGGGCCTCTGGATGACTGTACTCGCTAGCATACCATCCAATCAAATCACTTCCCTGATTCAAGAAAGGTGACTATTGCAGTCAAGGTATAAGTACGAAGTTAGTTATAACTTGCCATTGTGAAGATGGCCCTACCCATTCAACGGACGTGATATATGGATTGACTTCTTCATAGTGCCGATACCACATCTAAATATCACGTCTGAGGAACCGTGTTGGACGATATCACATCCTCTCGTGTATCACGTCTGAGGGACCGTGTTGGACGATATCACATCCTCTCGTATATCACCTCTGAGGAATCGAGTTGGTCGATATCCCATCCTCGCGTAAATCACGTCTGAGGAACAGAGTTGAACGATATCCCATCCTCACGTAAATCTATTCGTTGGCTTCGTTGGACTGAAAATAAAACCAACAGTGTTTTATAAACTCGAGACGATACTACTCGGCACTGCCAACCTGAAATGTCGACCTGGAAAATAGAAAGGCTTTTATTCATTCCTTTTCATATTTAGACATATCAGCATCACCTTATCTGATTTGTTTTGGTCGGGCATGAATTAATCTGATTGTATCTCATGTTGCTAACCTTTATAGTAGTGGCATGTGAAACAGATCATGCCTACTCTTTTCAAAACAACTGATGGTACATCTGTTTGAGGAGCCAACTACTATACAACTGTTACTCTCGATACCTATATAGTAGTGGCTGGTGTCACACACGAAGCAGATCATGCTTACTCTTTTTGAAACACCTGATGGTATTTCTCTTTGGAGTTAACGTCCACTAATATACAATTCAAACTCTTGATTTTGCCATGCTTTGGAGAAGATTTTGATTCACGGTATTGTCTTGCTTGTACTGATTTAGACATTTATATCAAGATTTTTGACATTTTAATATAGAACTTACTTAATTTGATAGAGCTGTAATAATTAGTCTGCAAGTCAGAAGAATTTGGATGTAATTGCATTATTTTGATGTGTTGTTCTCTTTAACGTCCGAATATCAATGTCTTAATATCATTACAAGATTACACAGACTTATGACAAGGACAAATTATATTCATTTTACGTGCTTTGCGACAAAATCTGGCTAATTTGGCAGAATACAAGTCCATAACTAAAGTCTTTTTTCTATGAGGTAAAAACCCTGTTGTCTGTCAAGTCATTTATATATATATTATATATATTTATATTTATATATAAACTCTAATCACCTTTATAGTACACAATAATAAATTAAGCGGATATAATATTCATTTTTTTTTTTTTGCCTTGCCATTTGCGTTGATGTTGCTACGGCCCTGGAATAGCTTTTAAGAGTAATCTGCTAGGTGTTATAGAAAAGGAAAAACTGTGCTGAAATGAAATGCATCAAGGTGCACCAAAATTCTGTTCTGAAACAACGAGTGTCAAATCTGAGACAAACTAAGCGTACTGCTCCATCATCTTCACAATGTCAAGTTATTGCGGACGAGATTTTTGATTGGCGGATTTTTATTCGTAATATGTATTATGTTCGTACAAGCTTCAATTTGGAATGGTGTAAATTGATGCTGTCCCCAATACACATCAAAAGTTTATAAAACCTTTTTACCATCCCTTTAACGTGATATACCATAACTGTATAGAATTATAGAATAACATTACACACGTTAATGTCCTGTCCGATCCGTTTTTGGTATTCGTCGTGGTCCTATTAAAGTACAAATCGATCCAGTGCCTATTTCAGGATGTTTCTAAAGACAACAATCAATGTTGGTTTTGAGTGACGAGGCCAAAATCAATCGGCAGTTGATTGAGATAGTTTATAAATAACACACATCAATAATAATTGGTAAAAAATATAGTAAAGTATCTGAAATTGATATTATATTATTACCAACGAAAGTTACCATAGGGTGTTTCTTTACAGAACATTACAGAGAGAATGGAGAAACACATTTCTTAGGACTCAAATCAAAAAGAGATCAATAGCGTTATTTCTAACTCTTTGATTTACATCTTTGTCGCCTTAAAACATCTAGAACGGTACCACTAGGGGTTAAAATACCGACGGACTGGTCTAATAATTTAAATC